ACAAGGCAAGGTTGTGAGCTCAGAGAAAATTAGTGGAACCTCTTCCTTTGATCTTCATCAGCTGCAAGCAGCCTACAATCGAGACGAAGTATTAGTAATAGTACTGGTATAACATAATTTAAATATGTAGCAATAAATCTAGGATTAACAATCAGGCAGTGAGTTAAAGAAACACAAATCACAATGAATGGCATTTTATATCTGATGAGGTAGAAAATTCTGGAGCCGGGGAAGGAGGGGGACAGCAAACGGATAGGAGTGCAAAAGAAGGGGTTGTTAAAGAGCTAGTAGTCTACGTAACCACATAAAAAGGTCACCCCAGTAAAGAAAAGTTAATTACAGTCTCTTTCTAAGTACCTAAGTTAGTTTGAAAATGTTTGATAGCGACAGTTTCCACAAATTGTAATAAACATGGCATTTCTTTTTGTTAATTATCCTGAAGGATTGAAAAACATTTATTTGATGTCCTGTTCCCACCAGGTGTGTAGCAACTGAGCTGGTAAAGACCTGCCACCTTTCAAAAGCAGATTTCTAGAAATATGGTGATAAAATCGAGTGGACACCCTTCTTGCGATCCTTCCTATTTACGCTTCCATAAGCATAGATGAACTGATATACACAGTTGGAGGTGACATAAGATGGGTATTTTTCAACTTTCGACTGTTTTGTTAAGCATACTGTATTGCAAATTGAGATCAGTTTAACAAAGCGAAGCTCCTTCTCACTGCTGCTTTTATTCTTTTGTCTATTCTTTCAGATGTCTTGTCAAGTTTAAATGCTAGATGAAGGAAACCAGGCTTCCTCTCAACAGTTGGATGTTGGCATCTCTCAATGAATTCTTTTCTATGCTTTATGATGAATTTCTTCGGATATATGTTTACTACAAATGCCTTCTGGATGATACTGAATTCTTTTTGTCGTTTGTCTTTTGAGCGTAGTGTTCTTATTCTAGTGAAGAGTGTCCTGACTAAACTATGTTTATAGTTGACAAGACCACAACTATTGTAATGAAGGTACTGACCAATTCACATGTCTTTCCCGTGGATAGTTTACTCAACTATACCATCATATCTCCATTTTATATTCACATCTGAAAAATGGAATCTGTCCTCATTTTTGTAATCCATTGTAAAATTCATATTTGGCTAAGCTTGGTTGAAGGCATCGAAAAACTTTGACACACGATTCATATTATCACAAACAATGAAAGTACCATTGAAATACCTGCTGTAATATGTCATTTTCTTGATTACTGAGTTCAGACATGTTCGTTTAAGATGAGCAATAAATCTATCAGGTAGGATAGGTCCTAGTGATGAACCCATAGTCACTCTATCAGTTTGCCACTATTATTATTTGTCCCTTGGGTTCCTAGTGGAACATAAGGCTTCAGTAGCACGTCTCCAGTGCACTCTCTCCTCTCTGCAAAACTTTTGAACCTGGTTCCACAACAACCCAGAAGCTCTCATTTCTTCCTCTCATGATCTCCTCCATGTCACACTCGCCTCCGACACCCAACTCGTCGCTTCCCATCTCCGTTCCACTCGATGGCCTAGTCTGGAGCGTGATGTCCTCCAATGGTCTTCTCAGTGCATACAAACTCCAATCCATCTCCACCTCCTGCTACTGCATATTTGTTTAGCCATAGGTTCTTGCTTCGTTGCTTCGTCACCAGCCAGCCAGAGTTCCTCGTTGCTTATTCTTATTATTCTCAACATCTCATCTCAGCTTCAGTAACGACCCAGAGTAGCCACTTGTTCATGAATGTCTGTAGTTTGTTGGAAATCCCTTTCATAACGCGCTAGGTCTCTCAACCATCACACAGAAGCACTGACTTACTTGACTGATATTAGTGTTGAAAATCCCGATCTTGTTCACGCTTCGTGCTGAGTGCAGAAGATCTCCACACTGGTTTCAGGTTAATGAACGCCTGTCTTACTGTCTTTCCGATCCTGGCTTTGACGTCCTCGTGTGTACCGCCACCTGTAGTTGAGATAGTGCTACCTAGCTAGGTGAAAGAGGCTACTTCGTTTAAGTTTCTCCTGTTGATGGTGATTGGTGCTTGTTGTTGTTGTTGTTGGTTGGGTATCTTCATCACCTCTATCTTCTAGTTTGCCACTATAGTTAATTATTAAACAGTAACTGAACACCTTTTGTACAGAGAAGTAATACTTAAATTTTATTTTCAGCAATGGTAGTAGATCTGACTGTTGACAGATTATGTCTATCATTTCATTTCGTGGTATGTTCGTTAACAATGAGGAAACATCCAATGATACCATGAATTTATCTAAAACATCTAATCTATCCAGTTCTTCAGAAAATTGGAATATATCCCTCAAGCTGTGATTTTCAAGTGCTTTTCTGATGGGTTTCAATTTCTTTCCTACCCAACAAGTCAATTTATGACAATGTGAATTTACCATAAACAAACAGGTCTCAAAGGAACGCTTGACTTATTTATAGATTTTCAGGAGGCTGTACATGAAGGATAGTCGTAAACCTCTTGGTTTAAGTTTATTATAGGTTGTTGTATTGATCAAATGTTATTTCAAGAGTTTCCTGAGGTAACTGTTCACTTAAATCTCAATTGGAACTATCGCATCCCTTTGGGATCTATCAACTTTAAATCTCGATGAATCGTTCAAAATTATCATTTTTATTTATTATGATAACACTAAACCACTTGTCAACTCTAATTATAACGACTTTGTTATTGTTGTTTAGTCTTTTCAGCGTCAACATATGCTCTTTAATCGGCATTTTTGACTGTTGACATGGAGGTATGCTCTCCATAAACCCCTTCGTCTATACTCCTGTCTATTTGTCGTCCCCACACCACCTTTTAAACAGTTCAGGAATTTTATATGTCATCAGATATAAAATGCCCTTTATTAATCCTATGTTTCATTGACTCACTATCTGTCTTATCGTTAATCCTAGATTTCAAATCTTCACTTATTTCTGCATATTTAAGGTATATTGTGTCATTAGTACTACCACTAATACAGCTGATGAAAGGCTATGAGATAAAAATGAGTTCCTTTTATTCTGTAAATATCTTTATTCTTGGATTATTAAAATTTGTCGAAAGAGCTGAACATATGACATCTGTTTCTTTGCCTTAGCCATATGTATAGCTTATTTATAAAAAAAATATCATCCTACCATTCATTCATCCCAAAACAATTGAAGTTATTACTATTCTAGGTTTAGACATCGTACTCTTCTCCTTCTTGTCTCTGATTACTGCCAACAATTGACCACTTGATACAATAATTCATTTCTTCTTCTTTTCTTGCTGATTACCATTATATAAACTATCAATTATGTAGCAAGTTGTTTAATACTTCATAAGATTTTAGCATGTAATTATTTTATACTTTAGTTGACTTAAATTACCTTGATTTCATAAAACTTGTGTACATCTGTATGTCAGTCAGCTTGTACTTATGATATGTAATCTAACAGTGAAACTTAGAAAACCACACTCAAGATGTGCTGAGCTACAAAGTATGGATTGCCGTATTCTTTTAGAACTACAGTCATAGATGCAATCATATGATCATGATAGCCTAGTAAAAATAACAATACAATGAGGCAACTACATGTAGGTATGTAAACAGACCTATGCACCACGAGAGAGAGAGAGAGAGAAAGAGAGGCCTGAGGACCTGTTTCATTGACTAAATAGGCAAGTTAGTGTTAAAGTCAATGACCTACAGCTTAACTTACTATGGAAAGGTTTTAAGTGAATTTACAAAAAGGTGATCATTACTTGTATCAAAATACTTGACAATATCCTTTTCCAACAGGAGAAAAAAAGTTTATTATTTACCATTGTTTTTTTTGATCAAAATTTGGACATTGAACTGTTACAGAATGAGTTATGGCATCGATACCAGCCAAACACACACATACAGCATGGCGTAAAACGCACAAAGAAGAAATGAGACAAAAAGTAAAAGAGAAGACTTGAAAAATTAAAGAATATCACTATGCAAGTTGATTAGCAGGATACACATCATTGTATACTTGTCATACAAGAAAAATAGTTCTTATAAAGTGTACTCTACTTCAAAACTATTATTAGGACAGAACTAATAGGAGATAAATGGATAAATAATAAGTAAAGGTTTTTTTCTGCGTCAAATAAAAAATAGCGGAACACTTGAAATATATATATATATATATGCAAGAGAATACTAATCTTTAATAGAATACAAAGCAAGCAGCTGAGAAATTAAGCAAGCATGCAAACGATGATATATATATATATATATATATATATATATATATATATATATATATATATGAGTAGATTTACAGATAGATGATAGAAGAATGAAATATTTGAAGGTGACAGTGATTAGGAAAAAAGTCAACAACACCAGAATAAACAACAAGAGAAAGCTGAACATGAGCAGTGGATACAATCAAAGGGGGAATATATATAAAGAGATCATTTATTTTACTATTGTTCTTTGAAAATGCATTCATAGAGAGAAGACAAAAAATAACTAAGAAATAATACACTAGAATATCAATAAACCCATAATAAGAGTTGAAAAAGATAATATTTTCATTATGAATACGAAATAGTTGGATTGTGAAGAAAGCAGATCAGTGGGTGTAGGGTACTGGTAGTGATGGTGGAGGCAGCAGCAGCAGCAGCATATTGAAACTGTTCATCATCTCATTTAAGCTAGTTAGTTATTCAACAAACAAAAAGGGATACATGTCAGTTTAACAGACATTAGAAAAGCGCTAAATGCACAAAAAAAAATGTATACCACTAGTGAAATAGAATATCCATAGTCTATTGAATGGAAAATAACCATTACTATGCTTACATATAATAATAATAATAATAATCGTAATAACAAGATATTAAAAGACAGAAAAGTTGACAGTACAGTATAGAAAGACCTAAAGGATTATGAATTATTCTTTGATTTATACAGTTTTTACTTTGTTAGTTTAGCACATATTTTTGTCAATATGATCAATTATAACTGGTATCATTTAATAATGTTTCATCATCTTTACACCAAGTTGATGTGTTGTATAAACAGTTGAGTTATGATGATGAAACTAGAAGATTTGTTTATTTTTATGAACATTACACCTAGTGTTCTTTTTGACCATTATTTAAGGATATTGTTGGAAGGTTACAGTTCTCATCTTCTACCTCATCCTCCGGTTGTTCACCATCGTCATTATCAGTACGATCAACATCTTCAGTTTTATGATTTATAGTTGAATTGCTTCTTTCAGTTATATCATACATGGATGTCTCAGATAAATCCATAGATTTATACAATTGACATTGATTAATATGCTTGATTAGATCATCTGATTGGTTATTAACAACATTTGGATTTTCTAAAATTATTGAAGCTGATTTCAACTCTGGAATAAGACGCTCTACAATATCAGCTAAAAGAACACGAGCAACTGGTGCTTCAACACAAATAGGTGATAAACCAAGCATAGCACGTAGACGTGAAAATCGCCATTCCAATTCTTCAGTAACAATTTGTCGTAGATCATTAGAATATTCTTCTGTTTTATTATGATTTTGACATGTTAATTTAGCTAATCGGTTAACAGCTAAGTCTAGGGCTATACGAAGTGCATGAAGTGATTCAATAGCTGATTTAACAGAATTCGATTCATCTTTTGTATGCGACTAAAATAAACAAACAAACAAGTGAACAAAACAATCAATTGTTAGAGAATAAAACAAAAATCAAATCGGTTACATCACACAAATTATTGTTAGAGTAAAACTGAATTAATGAAGTTTGTTAGCCACTCTACAATCATATATCGATAGATTGATTCTAGTACTTCAGGCGGTGAAAGTAACTCCCGATTCTAAGCATCTTTACAAATTAAGCAAGACATGCAAGTTAGTTGATGAGGTTGTGAACCTTAGTCAATTGACATGGCTTGGGGAGGTTACTTGAAATGTTAAGCCACCGTCTACCTGAACATGTCATGTTACATGAATTTGGATTAAGTCAGATTAGGTTCAGCGTAGCCACCAGACCAAAGGGCAACACCAGTTGATGAAGTCTATTTACTGTTGGTCTGAGCTATGTGGGCGAGATACAAACTACTTGGTTACAGTCTCTAAGACGAAAGGAATCAGTGGTTGGTAAAATGGTTGAAAATCAGTCACGATAGCACAGATGTATTCACTCCTTGATATCTTCTGAAGCTTGAATATGCGCACTAACCTGTATCTTCATATTCTTTATTCTCTTACACTATTTTATCTACTCTGATATCACTCTTTTTCAATTCACTTGTGTGCGAGGATCTACGTTAATGTTGTCAGTCAGTTATAAACCACAGGCATACTAGAACAACCCTTCTTAATAATCACTGTTCACTAACTAGTAAATCAACTGATACCGGAATCGTCTATCATGTTACACAGTCATCCCCCATCCCCTACAATATATACTCAATCTTTAGTTTGCATAGTTATACCTTGAATAGTTTGCTGTTTTACTCTGTCTTTGTCGTATCAGATAGATTAGTAAGGGAGATTTTTTGAAATGCAGTATACTGAAAGATGATTTTCATATGATTCAGCTTCTACAAGAGATAATTTATTGAAGAAGTATGTATATAATGACTGGTATGATTTTATCCTACACAACTGAACAATATCGATTATAAACTATGAGAATCTCATCTCTAAATGATACATATCGTATTTTAATTCTTATACAAAAGATAAATTATCTGAAGACTAGTTATTTGGTAGATGTTCACTGATGGTAAATAGCAGAGTTTTCAAGGTTTCTACATTCAACCAAATGATTCTTACGGATGATTTGATTTCACTTGGGCTTTTAGTAATGATTGGAGAAGAGTGTTGGATAACAATAAATGAACAAGAAATCATCTGAAGAAGGCTTAAGATGATGAATGAATTGAATTTCCCTTTTTCTCAAAATCTATCTCTTGTAATCTTATAATTCATTTCATTAGACGAAGGGAGACAGAGAGGAAGAGAAAGAGAGGGAAGGATATGATAATAATGTATGATTCTGTGTTATCGTTAAGGCTTTATAGTATGTGATATGACAAAGCTGATACAATATGTAATGATGCGTTATCCAAAATTAGCAAAGATTATATGTTATTGTTATGATTAGGAAGTATACGCAGACAGAAGATGCATTCACCCAACAGTATGAGAACATTGTTGTTATTGCTGATAGTAGTGGTAGTAATGTACAGTTTACTTACACACATGTTTTGTCGACATATTGATGAATTTTTATGTGATTTATTCTTCAGCATAGATTTCAATGGTGAATAAATATTCACATTGGATTGAGGAAATGAGGCACGAAGAAATTTACGATTTGATTGAATACACAACTTTGCCTTCTCATTATTACTATTATTATCATGATACATCATGTTATAATCTATAGACTTTTGAAGAATTGGTTGTCGATATGATTGTTGGTTTTTTAACTTGATTCGATCAGTAATAACAAGATTTTCATCTTCAGAGATCACATTCAATGTAGTACAACCACCATCAACTAGTATTGATCGTTTTCTCTGCTCTTTTTGATGTTGTTTCAATAGAGATTTACAGGATTTTCGTGTGAATGAAGGCAATGATACACTTAAAATAGGACAATGAAAATTTGTTGATGTATAACACCTGGTTTGCTTTGAAGAGATAGACTGTAAGCCAACAGATGTAGAATCTATCCATTCAGTACTTATACTACTACTAGTAGTCTTACGAATGTTACTTGGCGTATGATTAGTATTATTGTTTTGGTCATTATTAACGCTAGTAACGTTGTTGGCATTATTGCAACTTAAACAATGAACACTAGTTACGACGGTACCAATACAACGATTATTACTGCTACTATTAATACCATGATTACTAGATTTAGTAGTAGTATTAAAAACCTTTTTAATTACCAAATTTGGATTAGACGTTCGCGTTGAACTCCTTTTTATCTCTTCTTTATTCACTCGACTTTCATTTGGTATGCTCATAACAGACTGTGATGGATATTTGCGTGTCCCAGTGAAATGATTCTCACGATCTGATTGAAGAAAGAAAAAAAAGGGAAGAAACGAAAAACTGGACACAAACAAGTTATAGAATGTCAGAGTAGAACAAACTGTTGGTTAAAATAGCAAACAATAAGAATTATAAACCCATACATAGTGATATGAATACATAAAAAAAGGTAAAACAATAGTGGGAGACTGAAGACAATATCAAAAACTATATCTGATAGGCTCGTTTGTGTGGATAGCTCTAAAAACCAGGAATGACTCTGAAACGAAACGCATTCAATCACTTTGTACACATCTCTACAGTAGGCAATGAGCCATACCTATTGTGTAACTGCTAGTGATACTAACTGGTTGCCCAAACTTCGGTAAGTGGATCGCGATTCGAACCCGTGACTCACTGGTTGATAGTCAACTACATACACCACTCAACCATATATGCATACACCATAGTTGGTGACGTAGTGCTAGTAAATTTTGAATAAATTGTAACCATAACAAGTGTATTTACTGTAATGAACTTTGATGTCACTTTTCTTAATTCACATTTGGAGTTACTTTAAACGTCACCGTATCAGTTACTGCTGTAACAACCAATTGCATTTCCTCTATTTTATGAACAAAAGAAGCCATCCCAGCAGAAACACAGATACCAGAGATTGACTTTTAGAATAAATTGAAAGTCTTACACATTAAGGCTTGGAATGATAAGTTCTACTGGAGCAGAAGTTCTAATTAACTAAGCATTTACTTTATAATTGCATTGATTCTTAGAATGCTTTTTTGAGTAAGATATCAGTTAGACTTCGTTATCTACTTTCTCTGTCAAAATAGTGAAATCTGATTGCTTACTTTAGCAGTTGCAAGGGTGACCTTTGAAGTCACTCTGGTTTTCGACTGATCATCATCATCATCATTATCAACATAGGACCAGGCATTACTGCGTAACGGTCCGAGTTGCCACACCTCATATCAGCATATCAAGTAAAAGGTAGTGAGGCGAAGGATGAAAATAAGTGAATGCAGTCAAAAGAAATATAAAGTACGAAAAGAAAGGAAAGAGGAGTGACAAGATGGTGAGATTCGGTATAGCGTTGTTAAGATGAGGATAATGTGTGCATACATCTGCGCCACTGACTTCGGTTCTGAGCCATGTGATCACCTAGGGTCTCCAACCACTGGTTTCTCTTGTCCCGTGGACCCCAACCACCTAGTCTGCATCGTCCTACATGGCTTAAACTAACAATCAGACACTTCATACATTGGTGCCATGTTTTAGTCTGGCCACCTCGGGCCTTTTTCCAGCCTGGACCCACCTCAGCCAACATTGTGTGACGAGGTAATCGGTGTTTTCGACTGAATCTAAAGCCCACTCTAACACTAACTGAAATAACCAATCAAACTTCTCTATTTAAGGAAAATCTGCTTTCCCAACAGAAATAAAGAAACCTGATTGGCTATTTAAGCCGGTGCCAGGGCGGTCTTCAGAGTGGAGTTGTGACTCAGTGTTTTAGGTAGATGACCGTCAACCAGTGTTACGGATTCGAACCACGCCTTACTTACCGAAGTTTGGGCAGTAAGTTAGCATCACTGACTCTCATACAATAGGTGTGACTCATTTTCTACTGTACAGATGTACATTCGCAAACATATATATATATATATATATATATATATATATATATATATATATATATATATATAACTCAATTGGGTACATGTCTATGTACCAGGCTGTGAGCCACACTTTCGTAGGAAGGCCTACAACTGTAGGTGGTAGTCCCAGTCGAAGTAGGTGCAGTTGAACTCAAATTTTCCCCACGTATTTTAATGGTGGATAGCGGCTAGCGGTGAAATCCACGACTCGTCTTTCGTCCTATTTGGGACTCATCAGCTGGACGTACCTGCCTCCGGTGACCGATTTCTGTTCCCACAAAGACTAGAAGTTGAGGTCGATCGCTCCGAATGCCAGAGCGTTATCCACTAGGCCACCGAGCTACGACAGTCACTTCTTATGTGATGAATACAGTTTTAGTGCGAACAGCACTGCTCACTGGGAGACAGGTATGTCCAACTGATGAGTCCCAAATAGGAAGAAGGACGAGTCCCAGATTCCACTGCTAGCCACTGCCAATCACTAATATGTGATGGAAACACAGGCAATATCGAGGCATCCACACAGGAGCCCTTGATGACGGAATAACACAAGTCACAACATTACAATGTATTAGTTAAAAATAAATCAAGGAAAATATGCATTATTGTGAATGCCTGTTGTCTACGTTGCAGGTCATGTGACAAGCCTTCTAACCCACCGCTCACTTAGGCGATCACAATTACCGTCTATTTGATCAATATTCCTCTTATCAATGATCAAGAGAGGTAAGCTTAGTCTCTAGTACAGTATTTATGACCTATTTTGTGATTGCTTGTTTCTCTCCCTCTTTCTTTGCAATGATTAACCTATATGAGAAGAAGTTTCAATAACTTATCTGATTATTTTCCTGTTGTTGTGGTGGTGATGGTTTAATCCTCCTGCTTTGACTGCACCATTTCTAAAAGTGATCATGCTATGACCGGTAGTTACAACCTAATACTACGAGTGATACCAGCCTAGCAGACTACGAACGATACGAACCTAACGTGCAAACGGATTGATTCGCACGTAAATCATAACCTCTAACATTACCACTGATGTGCGAAGACAAGAAGAGAAGACAGACCGTTGACAGAGAGATTTCTACTGTTTCAACAACGCTCAATAGAGTTGACAGCCATGCTGAATATATATACATTTGTAAATGACCTTGAAAACACCAAATCCACATCTAGGTAAAAATAGTTGACAACCAATGAGAGTTCAGCCTTGAGAGCAGAGGTCAAAAAAAAGTAGTAACGGTGTGAAAACAGCTATGCAGGTTATTTTAAAGGTTAAGGGCAAAACAGCAGGCAAAAGCTGTGCAAAATTAGGGATGTATAGCAGATCAACACACTTGCTTTCTTCGTTAACCAGTTTCTTATCAATCTTTCCTTTTTCTGAGATAATTATTACAAACTCAAATTGGAAATATCAGAGTTATAGATTGTCTATCATTTTAACAGTTCAATTAAGCTAATAGATAAAATATATTACTTCAAGAATACACCCTGATATCCTTATAAGTATTTCTACTAAATCAGCTAGATACTGGAGTTGTATTTTATAGTAGGAATTCTACAATACCTATATATATCATCCCATTTTCACATTATCAATACAGAAATGTGGAGAAAGAATCTACTATACTATCAGAGTTTAGTCAAACTTGATAGCATATATAGTTAAGTGAACTTCAAAGAAGAAAGTTTGCTTTTTTGATAATGCATATCTCAAAGCAATATTCCGTTCATAAAAGTAGATTAAATTAATCAGTAAATACCGAAGAGTTTGTTATCTATTTCATAGAAACAAACAATCGCCTAACACCTATTGAAACACCCTATTTTAAACTCATTTAAGTAGCAAAAGTAAAGAGAAAGATAATTATTTGATGAGTTTCAGTTAATAGAACATCTTAATAAACACTAGACCTTAAAGTTCAGCGTTAGTGACTATTGCGAAACCAGTATTCCAACAATTACACAAGTATAATGAATTTTCAACATCATGTTCTTCTACTCTGTATTAAAATCTTATTAACCAGTCATTTCACAAAAATTGATATAATTAGACTTGATCATGAACCAGTCGATACACTCAGTGACCTCACTGTAGGTACCATATTATTATTTGTCCCTTGGGTTCCTAGTGGAACATAAGGCTTCAGTAGCACGTCTCCAGTGCACTCTCTCCTCTCTGCAAACTTTTGAACCTGGTTCCACAACAGCCCACAAACTATCACGATCTCCTCCATGTCACATTCGCCTCGGATACCCAACTCGTCGCTTCCCATCTCCGTTCCACTCGATGGCCTAGTCTGGAGCGTGATGTCCTCCAATGGTCTTCTCAGTGCATACAAACTCCAATCCATATCCACCTCCTGCTTCTGCATATTTGTTTAGCCATAGGTTCTTGCTTCGTTGCTTCGTCACCAGACAGCCAGAGTTCCTCGTTGCTTATTCTTATTATTCTCAACATCTCATCTCAGCTTCAGTAACGACCCAGAGTAGCCACTTGTTCATGAATGTCTGTAGTTTGTTGGAAATCCCTTCCATAACGCGCCAAGTCTCTCAACCATCACACAGAAGCACTGACTTACTTGACTGATATTAGTGTTGAAAATCCCGATCTTGTTCACGCTTCGTGCTGAGTGCAGAAGATCTCCACACTGGTTTCAGGTTAATGAACGCCTGTCTTGCTGTCTTTCCGATCCTGGCTTTGACGTCCTTGTGTGTACCGCCACCTGTAGTTGAGATAGTGCTACCTAGCTAGGTGGAAGAGGCTACTTCGTTTAAGTTTCTCCCGTTGATGGTGCTTGTTGTTGTTGTTGGTTGAATATCTTCACCACCTCTGTCTTCTCTACGTTCACCTGGAGTCCCATCTTCCTTCGCTGCCTCTTCTGTCAACTCGCTAGTTTTCACCTGTGAATATACGAGCTTGTGTGACATTATACGTAAATTATCATCGGCGAAATCAAAATCGTCAACTACCTTTTAATCGACCAAACAGTGTATGCTACTCTTCTCGCTCTTCACGATCTGCTGTATGATCCAGTCGATGACAATCAGGAAGATTATGGGTGATAGTAGACAACCTTGTTTCACTCCTGTCTTCACTTCAAAAGCATCACTGAGCTTCCCATTGTGAATTACTTGGCTGGTTTGTGGCGTCTTCATATAGTTATTGAATGAGGTTGATAAAAGTTTGTGGTATTCCGTGGTGTTGAAGCAGCTGCCAAATTAATTCTCGGTCGATGCTGTCAAAGGCCTTCTCAAAGTCGATGAAGTTGAGGTAGAGTTGAGTTGACTACCATTCTATGCTCTGTTTTATGATGATGCGAAGCGTTGCAATTTGGTCCGCACATATTTTGACAATAAACAAACAAGTTGCCTGTTTGCTAAATAACAGGTATCGTACACCAATAATCAATCCAACGTCTAAACACCACTGATTGAGGGGGGTTTTGATTGGGTCAACATTTGGGTGAATAGCCAATGTGATTAAGATGAATGAACAGCTAGATGTCACGTATTCATATGACACTGAGGTGAAACATTCAGTGATTGAAATGAAGTTATAAGGTCTAGTCAGCACAGTTGGATTTCATAGATCAGTCAGTAGAGCGCTTGGTCGGTTATCTAAAGACCACCCATTGAAATCTTACAACCGTTAAGGTTTCCATTTCACCTTCAGTCATCACTGCATCATTAATACCGGTCTTATGAACAACGGCTATCCTAGATAGTCATATTTATAAAACACTAAAGTATGATGCTCTCTCTCTCTCTCTAATTCAGTTTTGGATTGGGATTAGAAGTCTTGATTAGGTAGACAATGTGAGTAATGATCAAGAGGTAGTAACATGTCACTAAATCACATTGTAGACGGGAAAAATCATTGGTGATTGAAGTGAAATAACATTCTGGTCAGCAGTTAGGCCTTGTTACTCAGTTAGTATACCATCAGGCTGGAAAACCAGTAGTCGCTGGTTCGAATCCAACCGTAGACCAAATTTTCATTTCACCTTGAAACATCACCTAGTATCAATAAAATATCTAAATTTATTTCAGATCTAACCGTAAAATTTATCAATTGTTCTACATGAATAGAACTTCAAATTATGGAATTTGATGATGGGATTTTTATTAACCAATGTATGTGTGTGTATGTGTTTCACTTCCAACTATTCCTATGTATATAGTATATCAGTTGTATACAGACAATTTGGAAAAAAATCATTTCAAGAGAAGTTACCTTGATAGGATGATGATGATGATAATGATATCAAGGATGCCTTTGAAATGAAATCCATCTAAAAAAATTAGATTAAAACACATAACAAGTATAAAATAGATAAGCATGAGAAACACACTATGAAATTTTAGTATAAACTGTTGAATTATTCATTGAAAATTAAATGTAAACTCTGAGGTAGGTTTTTATGAAACAAAATTGTCTACAGAAACGGTTAAAATAATATGATACTTAGAAAAGTTGTTTCAGCGACTTTAGAGGTAGACGACTTGCTAACACCATAGACTTTTCATTAAAGTTATAAAGTTAAACCATAACTCGTAAGACTAGTTAAAGCAAGCATGAGTGTGGTTAGATATTTTCCATTGATATCAGGTAAAGACGAGATCATATCACAGTTTTACGTATTTAAGTTCACGATAACTATATTTTGATGGGTAAAAACCTAGCATACTCATATTTTTTCCACCGATGATCCTCCTGATTATGGTCGACTGGACTGCATCATGCAACAAACTGTGAGAAGTGCGAAGATGGGTATAGGCTGGCTGGACTGATGAAAAGACCCCAGACGAATTGGATCTCGCCGATGATGATTTATATCTAATACCTTGTCACACTAACTGGAAGATCTACAGCTGAAAACTAACAAGTTGGCAGACGAGGCAGCGAAGAGAGGTGATGAAGATACAAAACCAACAACAACAACGACAAGCACCAATTACTACCAATCGAAGAAATCTAAGGGAAGTTGTCTCTTTCACTTTTCAACTAAAGGCGGTGGCACAAATGACCATGTCAAAACCCGAAGGGGAAAAACAGAAAGACACACCTTCCTTCGTCAACATAAAATCAGTGTGCAGATCTACTGAACCCCACTGCACTGCACTGCACTCAGCATCAAGAGTGAACAACACCCCCATTCTCAACACTAATTCAGTCAAGTAAGTCAGTGCTTCTATGTGATGCTTCAGAGACTTGGTGTGTCACGTGAAGCATTTCCAACAAACTACAGACACTCATCAACAGATACCACCTACACTCACTCGACACTGACATTGAAGATCAGATGGCCAGAATAATAAGAATAAGCAACAACGAACTCTAGCTGGCTACCTGGCTGGCTGGCTGGCTGGCTGGCTGGTTGGCAACGAAGCAAGAACCCATCACCCAACAAATATGCAGAAGAAGAAAGTGGAGATGGATTGGAGTGGGCATACACTGAGAAGACCAGTCGGGATATCATGTGCCAGACCACGCCCTCAAGTGGAATCCAAATGGGAAACGACGAGTTGGGTGTCTGAGACGAGGGTAACATGGAGATCATGTGAGGAAGAAATGAGAGCTTCTGGGGAGTTGTGGAGCCAGGTTGAAAAGACTGCAGAGAAGAGAGTGAAGTGGAAACGTGCTACTGTAGCCCTATGTTCCGCTAGGAACCCAAGAGAAAAAAGCATAAATGTAAGATGCTACTTCAGAACTGGTCTGCATCAACTCCTAATTTAAGTATAGATAATAAGATAGTGGAATGAATTGATAACTTCATTTAATTCAGAAGTTCGGATTCAAAAAGCTAATTTGACATCTGCAACATCACACCACTTATGCTGTCTTCATAGTATTGTTCGCATATAGTGGAATTATTATCTATGTCAGAGTAAATCAGCTGAAGAGGTTGTGCATAAATTGGTTAACTGTTTAATCAAAGTTGCGTAAGGAGGTTTAGACTATGTGACTAGGATTCTAGATAGGGTAGGAATCAATAGTTGCCTCCTTTTAAATGGTGCAAATATATACTCTTTTTTTAACATTCTTATCAACATCTATCTGCTTATACTCTCTTCTCTCATATACCTATGGAAACTTTTATATCATTTGTTTCTTATTCATTCCTTCTTTGTATGGCGCTGTGAAGTTAGGCAACTGGAACCGATGCATTTCTGTGCTACCTTCTATGTGAGTATATCAGTTTATAGAGTTATAAAATACTAACTACTTTTTCATTTAAAACCAGTTTATCTTACAGTGATAAGTGTGTACTACTTTTCTATAGAGTGAAATAATTAGCAAGGCTACTGAGGATACTATACGTTTTATATTTAAAATTAATTTTCTAATTATCATGAGCTATTGAAACAAAATCTACAAGCGAAAAATAATATCTGACTGAAATACTTACAGATGCACGTAAAGGTTTAGAATGATTATTTTGATGATGATGATGATGACTGCAGTGTGAAGCACGATTAGCAGTTGTATCATCAATGAAACAACGTTTCTGTGTTGTATGTATACCGACTACCTCATTATCAATCGATGATGGAGTCTTTTGTATTGGTGAGCTATGATAAAATAGTATAAAGAGAGAAAAATAAAAACAAACATAATGATCTTCTTTTTTCCCCTCTGATAAACTGAAATGAAAATAATAGTATGTTAGTTGAGAAAAAGTGAAATTAGACGTTAAAGTATCTGCTTTCCGTTTCCTTTATGGTTAACTATCACTATTGAATAAATATTTTAATATCCAAAATATAGAAAATTCATGTGGAAAAAAAAATTCAGTGTAATAACTAACGAACAATCGAATGACTTCCATTACCCTATTGTTCATTTAAGATTTAACAAAAAATGTAATAAAAACAAATATTATATCACACACAAAAAAAACGAAAGTTAATAACCTTATTATAGTTATTAGGTGTAATAGTGTAAAAGGTTATTCGAAGGGAAAGATTAAAACCTCGTTAACAGCTAGATACAACCAATCAGTCGGTAAGTCAATCAAATGTAAGTTTTGAGAAGACAGACAGGCAAATGAAATCCACGTAGAACCTCGTATACAGGTGAATCAGTCCAAGTTACCACACCACAGCAGGATGCACAGAAAAATTGGATAGAAAAAAAGTGGTAGCAAAGTAGACAAAGTTGTATTAAGAGGGTAGATAATTTAAAAATCAGTTTAGTCAAAATATTCAGGCTTCAAAAGACATCAAAGATTGAATATATCTTAACTATTGTGACTGATTTTTAGTTATTTAATCAAGAGTTCCCAATCACTGATTCCAGTAGTCTCGGAGACCCCATACAGGTGGTCTACGCCTAGATACATAGCGCACATCAACAGTCAAGGACTTCATGAAATGGTGACACTTCTTGGTTTTTCCTCCCTAAGCTTCCTTCCAACCTAACTCCATTTCACCCAGCATAGCATGTTGAGGTAGGTGGTGGCTTGGCATGCACAGAACATACGCAAAACATCACAGTCACTGAAGGTTCATAACCTCATCAATGGACTTGCCTTACTTGCCTAGTACCCTTTGCCTACCTTAGAAATTACTCATGTGATGATTCCACCATACAAGAGTAATTCTGCGAAGACACCTGTGATCAGAAACCTATAACCGCTTCATATCTTCTACTCTTAACAGCCATGTATCACAGCTATGTAATAGGAGAGAATGGACTGTAGTATGCTCATCCTGTGATAGATGATCAAGGGGGAGTAGTATCCACCTGAAGTTAATATTACTGCGAACTGTATGAAAATAAAGTCATCCCATCCCATGTTGCTCCACTGTTTCGCGCATTTCTAATTCTCGTTTGACAATGTTCTTGTGTCTTTCAAAATAACTTTCTACGGTGCTAAATGATTGGAACTAATCAACAGGAAGGTTTGAGGCTCACTCACTGAGTGAAACTAAAAGTTATCCCCAGGTGTTTTTTGTGTTGGTTAAAGGTTGTAGGATTTTTTGTGAAAATATGAACATTTTCTGTGTTGTCTATGAATATTTTACCTATTTGCGCAGATTTTACAATTCACTCTGTCAATTTATCCCGTTTCGAACCGTTTATTCATTTGCAATGTGTTGGATGCACTTCTACTTCATGGGCAGAATGTAGGTACAGTTATTCAAGATGAATGATACTAACTGACCACAGTGAGTTAGTTGAGGCTTCAAATTGCATCCAAAAAGATTTATGGCAGCAGTTTTCAATTCAGAACATATGCATACAGAGCACATAAAATATATTTTTTCAGATAAAATGCCAAAACACCTGGGAATAACTTTTATTTACTTACTTACTTCCTCACTCATCATGGTGTATGTACCTGCAACTACAAAGGAACTGGTATTCACTTGGTGATTCCAACTTGTTTCACTAAATATTGCTACTTTTTGTTGGCGACACTAAACCGGAATACAGTTTCTGAAGTTGTGACTAATTGGATTAGAGGATCAACTTTCAATCACTGTATGAAAAGATAAACAATTGGTTTTCTTTCTTAAAATATGTATAGTGCATACGCCAATGATGAAACCATATTCATCCTAGGATCATGTCTTTTGATGTCGTTCTACCTGACGTTTATGAATGGCTTGTGTCAATAAGTACATCGATGATTCTTATAAACTTCAACGGTAAAAAATCGACAAGTGAGTGTACACAGTATTAAGTATTTCCAATCTCTTTCAATCAGTCAATACCCGCTATCAATCGAATCACTACCACTGTCACAGAAAATAACATATCTGACTTCGCTGTCAACCATACATTATTTCTACGGAAAGTAATAACCAATAAAAAAAAAAAGAAAATTCCTACCTAGTTACTCAGAGCTCGGTCCCAGCCTACGACCCATTTAGCTGAAAGTCAACTGTCTAAACCAATGAGCCAAAACTTAACAAATTCTAAAGAGGCATCTTGTATGTGTATTCAGACTATATTTGTGCTTATCTAACTAAAGTCATTCAATGGAATATGATGAACAAAGTCTTACTGATTAACGCTTTACTGAAATGAGAAAAGAACTCAGAAATCCTTGAGTATACTTGTACATGGTTAATGATAGTATGAAAAGTCAGTCGGATGTTTTCAAGTTTCCGTTACTTGAAGTTAAATGATATAACGCGTTCGCCATGAAACCTGAAACTCTTGAGTTCGATTCCTGGAGAGGTGGGGTCATGAGTGTGTACTGCTGAGAAGTCCTCATGCTAGAATGAAACAGCTATCCAATACTTTCATGTTTTCAATAGTTCCCGAACTGATATGAATTCATGATGAACAGTACCATTAAAAAAAATATATCTTTCAGTTATTCACTTCATCTCCGAAAAAATGATATTAACAGTAATGAGATAAATTGTCATAAAAACACCAGTCAAGTTTGTAAGTTTTTAAACAGATTGTTTCCGCGTTTATTAGTTAATAAAATTTTAGAAAAAATGAACTGATGAAATCTGCACATGTGTTGCTCCTCACCCCAACCCCCAAATTAACCATTAGAAAGAAAGAAATTAAACAATATACCATGACAAAAAAAAAAGAAGAAACAACCCACTGATATGAAAATAAGGTTAGTTCATATACATATATATATTATGTGAAGGCGAGTATGTGCACATATGACTAGGTTAACCTGCATAAACACAAACAAACTATGCATACACGCAGACAATCATTCATATATCGAAACTAGCAATCAAACCAATGTAAGATATACCTAACAGGGAACCAACTGGCACGAGAACGGACACTACGTCTTTCTTGAAGTATGGTTCGATTATTAGAAGGTATTTGATATTCACTTGAGTGAGAAATTGAAGAATGAAAATAGTTTATAAACATTCAATAGATTGCTAATGGTTAGATTAATTTTAATTAAAAAAAAATAAGCTAGTTGTTTTTGTTACAAGTATTACTTATGATTTGGAACTATTGCTGCTGATGGTGTACAGATATCTACTATCAGCCAACAACGTTCAACAACATCCTAGCTAATTCCCGTCCTGATTGATTAAATGGAGAAGATACAATGAACGTGTAGGAAACGTGCATTTGGAGCGACGACCGAAGACAAGAGACAAAGGAGAATATCCCTAAATATATACATAGTTCGGTGTTCAGAATAATGATTTGGTTGGCTGATCGATTGTCTGTCGGTCTACCTGTACACGTGATTAACACAAATTACATTTTGATTGGGCAATTTTAGAAGTTTATTTCAAAAGTACAATGCAGTGATCAACTAAGAGTATGAGTTAATAAAACTAAACGGTATTTTGGAGTGACTTTAAAGGCCACTTTAATAACTGATGAAACAGCCAGTCACGTTTCTTTACCCAATGAAAAATTGTCATCCCAGCCAAAATACCGTAACCTGATTGCTTATTTTGATATTCGTGAGAGTGGTGTTTAAAGTCACCCTAGCAAATTCTGAGATAATAAATTACGGCTCTATTTTATGAGGAAATCCCTTTCTAGATAGAATACCGAAACTTGATCGGTTACTTCAGCAATTGCTACGATGGCCTTTAAAGTCATCCGATACTTTGGAGAAGTTGGTTCAAGAAACACCGTCTTCCAGAAGTATTAAGTTCCAACAATTCGTTAAGAGAAGATAAATGTGCTAATTACCATCTTACTACCTTCAATACTACTTTGTAGTAATATCAGTGATGCGAACCAACTTGGTGAAAAGATAGTTTATCGAAGGGTTCATTTAAAAATGAAATTAGAAATACGTACGTAGCGAAAAAGCGTACTCCAGTTATGAAGGTGATGATTTTCCCAAAACACTTTGATGTAACTAAGTGAGGAATGAATAACTTTTTGTTACTTAGTACCATCATTTTTGCTACAGCTGTTAGTAGTTGATGAAAGAATAGTGAAAGGATCTTTGGAAATGGCTTTTAAAGCATCAAGGATTTACACGTCAATTAAGTACAACTACATTCATTACGTACATGACCTTTTAGAAAATAAGGCAGATGATAACTAATGAAATTGCCAGTTGGGTAATTACAACATTGAATCTTGGCAAAGTATAGGAACCTTAGACTGAACGTCATCCGTGCAAATATTCGACGTGTCGTGTATTCATACTGGGTGATGATTGAAGATGAGATGAAAATCTGGACCGCGGCCGGATTTGAACCAGCGACCACCGGGTTACCGGCTCGGTGCTCTACCAACTGAGCAGGAATTTCTCCTTAGTTCCTGTTGCTTTTTTATGTACTTCCTTTTCATTTGTTTCGTTACTTCCTTCCGAACCATTATTGACCAAGTGTTGAGTATAACTGCTTTTCCCAATGACATCACATCTTATACTACTTATATGTGTTCTAGTAAGTAGTATACGTAGCCTAATTAATTAATGGGCGGATAAAATGTAACAAGTAAGAAATCAAAAAAAATAACAGTAATCATGTACGCCCTCGCGCTCTAGGAAATAAACCTTATTTATTCTCTGATGCCTACTCAATAATCAAAAGGAAATTCGTCTCATTGATGAATTAAATCATGGGTTTATCTAGCAGTATTAAAAGTGTAGATTAAAAGAACCATGGTCTGAACTCACTTGGAATCCGGTATTTTTTGTCAAGTAAAATAACTTCCGCTTGGAATGTATACAAGACAGATAAAATAGGTCATATCAAGTTGTTATTCATCGCGAGCTGCAATCAGTTGAAAGGGCACTGAGAAGCTATCTCGTCCTGGTATGAGACTCCTCAGCGGTGCATACCCATGGCTCCGTCAGAGATCGAGTCCAGTACCTTCAGATTATGTGGCGGGCACATTACCGTTGGGTCACTGGGTCGAAGTTTAATAGTTCAGAGTCTCCTACTTTCGTCAGTTCGCGATAAAGCGTGATCTCCATGCAATGCCTCACATCTGATTTATCCCACCGGTTACGACTTCTCACTCATCATAAAATGACAGAGATAAGAAGATGTGGACCGTTGGATCCTGCCTGAAGGTCCTGGGTTCGCTCTCTGACGGGGTCGTAGGTACGCACTATTGAGGAGTCACATATTAGAACGAACCAGTTGTCTAGTGTTTGCAGGTTTTCAATAAATCTTTAACTGATGTCAGTCCATGATAAATACCAATATGAAATCAATAAATAAGTCCTTAAAAACCTCCAAACTGAATTAAACTATATCAGCTGACAGGTTGAAGTTCTTTTTAAAATTTAAAATCGATTGGATCATGCAAAAAACTGTGAGGAGTCAGGAATATGGGAATACGCTGTTTGACCTACGAAAAGACCCCAGAAGATTTGAATTTCACTGATGATTTAGGTCTAATGCCTTGTCGTACAAATTCGAAGATCTACAGGTGAAAACGAACAAGTTAGCAGAGGAGGCAGCGAAGGAAGACGGGATTTCCTTCAGGTGAAGATAGAAAAGATAACAAATATCAATCACCAACAACGAGAGAAATCTGAAGGAGATTGTCTCTTTCACTCATCAACTAGGCAGCATCGTTTCAACTAAAGGCGGTGGCACAAATGACCATGTCAAAACCAGGATCGGAAAAACAGAAAGACACACCTTCCTTCCTCAACCTGAAATCCGTGTACACATCTACTGCACTCAGCATAAAGAGTGAACAACACCCCCATTCTCAACACTAATTCAGTCAAGTAAGTCAGTGCTTCTATGTGATGCTTCAGAGACTTGGTGTGTCACGTGAAGCATTTCCAACAAACTACAGACACTCATCAACAGATACCACCTACACTCACTCGACACTGACATTGAAGATCAGATGGCCAGAATAATAAGAATAAGCAACAACGAACTCTAGCTGGCTACCTGGCTGGCTGGCTGGTTGGCAACGAAGCAAGAACCCATCACCCAACAAATATGCAGAAGAAGAAAGTGGAAATGGATTGGATTGGGCATACACTGAGAAGACCAGTCGGGGATATCACGTGCCAGACCACGCCCTCAAGTGGAATCCAAATGGGAAACGACGAGTTGGGTGTCTGAGACGAGGGTAACATGGAGATCATGTGAGGAAGAAATGAAAGCTTGCGAGAAGTCGTGGAGCCAGGTTGAAAAGACTGCAGAGAAGAGAGTGAAATGGAGACGTGCTACTGAAGCCCTATGTCGCACTAGGAACCCAAGGGACAAATAATAATAATAATAACTGAATTTAGATATATTGATAAAAATCTGTTTTTATTACCCTATTTTATAACAAACGGTGCACGTGGTACAACTGATATCTAAAGATAGATAGATACACAGGGGAAATAATAATATTAATAATAAACTCTTGAAAAGCGTATACCTTGTAGAGATTAGTTGAGTAGCCGAATATGATCGTTGATTAGACCTATTCTTTGGTCGATTAAATAATGGTAATGGATTTGTACAGTCTTTACCACTAACTGATTCATTGACCAGTAAGTCTTCTGTACAAACTTCACAGGAATATGGTGGTGTGAATCGTTCAATTGCCTGGTAGTCCAAAAAAAATAAGAGACGAAAAGATAGGAATAATACACTTGTTCAATATATCTATGATAATAGTGATACTTGGATGATATAACCTTAATAATACATTGATACCATTTTTTCATAATAACGGTTCAATAGTGAATGACATCACTAATCGTTGGAAAGTACGAGTATAACTTGTCTGAAAAATAAATGAAATTTCATGAAGATATGAATATTTTCTAGTAGAATCAGTTTGATCGAAATGTTTGAAGTCATCCTTCAACTTAGTAATTTACATCTTTATGCCTCATCTTTGCGAAAGTCTTAACCAATGATGACAATTATACTATAAATTGACCGTGAGAATGTTATCTAGAGAGACAGTGAGAACGTCGGACTACTTGAACAGTTCTAAGAAAAGTGAACCAATACAACACATCTATGAGTTGTACAAAAAATAAATCATAAAAACAACTCACTAAATCTTTAGGTCTATTCTGTACAGAGGTTCGATTAATCCCCTGGGTTGGATTAGATTTCTTTGAAAGATTATCAACAGCTTTTCGTATTTTCATCGCTGTTGTTGTTGTCGTTGTCGTCATCGTCGTCGTTGTTGCTGCTGTCGTCAATGTTCGTCTAAAATCCATATTTTGAGCATCTTTTTTATAAGAACGAGGTGTATCAGGAGCAGAGACAGCACGTGTTAGCCAATTGGTTTTCTTCTCATGAATTTGTTCATTGAAATCAATTTCATTAGTTTGATTAAAGTTAGAGCATTCTCTAGCTTTATATTCTGATCGAGACATTTGATTAAAGGTTTTTAGTTGTGAATGCATATTATTATTATCATTAGTTGATACTGAAGACTGTGGAAGAGATATTAAAACAGTAGTAGATACTTGTGTCAATACATCCTATAGAATATTCAACGAAAATATTACTATACAATGAAATGAAAGACAATAGGTGCCTAGAAAGGGAAACAAAGTAAAAGCTCTCATATTCTTCTAGTCAGTGATGCTTATATATTTACAGGGTGTGGGAATACGTTCAGAGCAAGACATTCTGTAGAAGATTTCAAGGTATAGTTGTAGCATCGAAACTTCGCTCTTGGTGAATTTCTGACAAAAATGATTTATCCTGAAGGGTGGATCACAATTCAAAAGCTATATGAATCCAGATATATCGTATTATATAAAACTATGATTATTACTAGGTGATAATTGAAGGTGAGATGAAAATTTAGACTGTGGTCGGATTCGAACCAGCAACCACCAGATTTCCTGCCCGATGCTCTACCAAGTGAGCTACGAGCATCGGTCCGGAAACCCGGTGATAGCTGGTTCGAATCTGGCCTCACTAGTCTGCTAAACTGCAGCTATCTCAGATAGTCAAAAATGAAAAAAAACAACTATGATTATGTGTACTGCTCAGTTAATGAGTCAATAGCGACAATTTTTCATCTCAACTTGTAAAACAGTACTGGTCTAGGACAACCCTGCAAATGAACACACGCTAAGCACACGCACACATAGCAACTTCAGTTATTGATGTAATCGGAACTTTCTTTCAGATCAATAAAACGACTTACGCGTTGTCAAATCATTTAAATATCTGGTATATGTATAATTCTGACTGAAAACCTTCAAAGTTGCCTTGATAAACAAATACTCTTCATAAAGTAGTATTTATGATGGGGTGACATCAGTTAGAGAAACGTTGAAAACATCGGAGAATCAAAGAGCTGCTTCATTCTAGTATTTGGCTCCTCAGAAGTACACACCTACGACCCCATCCCGCCAAAGATCAAACTCAGAACCTTCAAGTTTCACGGTGAATGAGTTAACCACTCAATTATTGGCTTTCTTACCACTGTCAAATCGCAAAACACCACGACTATCCACCAAAGTCTTCAGCGCTTCAAGGTTTTACATGGTTCCCCAACTGATATGATGAATAATATCTTAAAAATAACCTTAAAATCACATTACTCTTTATTAAATTAGTATTTGAGGAGTAGCAACCATTAAGCAACTAAATATGCTATAAAAACGGCAGTCTGCTTACTCGTTCAGAGACATCTTCAACTGATTTTTTACCATGAAGACGATTACGTTTTGATAATTTACTTGTCAATTTTGATACTGTTGTTGATGTAGACATGGGATTACCAGGAAGTATTTCACGTGAATCTTGTCCACTAAATATAGGTAGTATTGGACCACTTGCTACAGACGCTTGACTAGCTGAATCTGATCCAACAACATCTTGTTCATTAGTGAGGACCTAAAATATACAGTAGGCGATGTGTTTAATAAACACGTACACACAAATCTCCGGTTAAATAAGTACAGTTAAGTAACTAGAATGTATTACCAACATATTCATGCAGTAAGAAGTGTTTGCATTATAAATGCTGGTGTTCACAACAACAACCAAAAGGGTAGATTAAAAAACATCCAACCACAAAACAGATGTCACAACATATTGATCTGATCGGAACTTGCATTTACAAGGATAAAAAAGAACTCAAAAACAGTAGAAAACAATTATCCATCTTCAAAAGGACTATAACAAAGGGAACACATTTGAAAAATCATGTAACAGTAATCAAACAAAACAGGAGGTTAATCTCAGTAAACAGGATGAAATAACATAAATTTAACAGGGAAAAAAGAAAATTTCAGGGCATGGGGAAAGGAATAAAGCATCAGTAGACCACTGTCACAGTGCATACATATAAGGTCATATTCAACACGAAGTTAACTCAGTTGGAGAACCATTTAAAACCTGGGGGCACTGGAAAGCTATTTCGTATTGCTATAGGACTCCTCAGCAGTACGCAACCACGACCTCAACTCTCTAAGGATCAAAATCAAGACATTCAGGTTTCACAGTGAACACGGTAACCATTCAGCTATACAGGTTCAGAGTTGAATGATCCACCATTTCCTGCTTCTGTCAATTCGTGACGTGCAACTAAGAGTCACGTTTACACACACATAACTTCAACCACACTGAACTACTTTGATAATAATCCTACGTCTCCATGAAAATATTTATCCGTGAAACAAACAGAGTTCAAACCAACGACGCGTAGATTTTCAACTTACAATAAATTATGTCATAGCAAACATATACAAATAACCATTACCAGTTTGTTTGTTACTAAAACTGTACAATCTAGGAATTATGTATTGTCATTATACCAACCAAGAAGGAAAAAATCAATCAAACTAGTCAAGAATATGTAGAAAGAAATTATTTTCCATTCATCAAATTTTTCTTGAGAAGTAGTTCTCATTTATTTTCCTCCCCTATCAAGAATATACATAAGAGATTTGATAACCTGACTCTTTAATACTTGCATAAAATACATCAAGTAAGTTGAACTTATTAACCTCTCCCCTTTCATAACACACACATACACACGCACTGGAGTTATTTTAAGCTCCTTATGCCTCCACTTTAAACTTTCAATAACCAGGGACAACGTAATCCGGGCCTTGAGTATTTATCTGTGCACCCTATAGATCGGTCCACTGATTGAGGACGAAACATTGAAGCAATAAAGATTCTATACAGATCAAAATGAACACTTGTCAGAGTATTTTTGTCAACGTATGATCAATTGTTATCCAAACCATTTGTAACGTCAAGCTTTAAAGTTTCACCATTCGCCTGGTATGTAACTCTGCTGATCAACTTTACCTCATGGAGATCAGACTTGTATACAACACGTCTCACTGAAGTTTTCAAAATCTCACAGTAGAAATGCAGATCAATCCCCTTCTCTCAGAATGCAACTTCCTAAAGAGGCTGAATTCAAAGACCTTTAATGTTAAGGTTTATCGGTAGTAGCTCCCTCCAGGTCACTGACTCTTATTAGCCAACAAAGTATGAGTTAACAACAACCCCCTACCTAACCAGTGCTTGGATCATCGGTAATGGAGTGAAATACACATCAACTTCCTGGGATATTTTCGACGGCAATGACTTCTGGAGTGCAGAAGCTCGATTCCTAGACTATAAATTCAGTCTAACTGCTCCCAGAGTCCTGGATGAGATCGTGATGCAAATAGTTATCGACAAATCGACTGGACGATGGTGTATTAGACTACTCAGCGGTGCCACAAGGAGGCTAACCGTAGTCCATATCTAGACTCGAAGAAAAATGGCTGGCTGAACGGTTTTCAGTCCACAGGGATAAACCCCTCTTGTCCAATCAGCAACAGTTAGCACCGATAAATTTATAACAGTGAGGCATATCGATAAAAATTAAAAATAGTGAATTAACTTTCATTTGTATCAATCCACATTTAACTAGTACCATTAATAGTTATGCAGTAATAATTGGAAATTAATTTAGCTAAGGGATATGGTAAAAACATAAATATAAGCAATGTGAACAAAACTGCATGATATCAATCTACAGTGTAACAAACTGAAGAAAACGGGAACAATACTCAAGCAGTATAAGGAGACGTGCAATGAATATGCTGCATATACACGCAGAAATCGGGCAGTGACAAATTATGCACCGAAATGCAATGAAACGATCATTAAAAAAAACAGCACAGCACAACGCAACACAACATTAATATACTTTTCACCTGTGGTAAAGACGTTGGTACAATGGTCACTGATTCACGACGACTCAGCTGTGTATACGTATGTGTTGAGCGTATTGATAGATGGTAACAAATATGAGTGGATAAGAAAGAGCATATAATTTATATATATATATATATATATATATATATATATATATATATATATACCGTTAAACAATGGAAAAGAATATATATAATGTAGATTGAGACGGATTTACGTGTAACAACATATAAGTGAACAGATTTTACAGGTCAAGTGGTAATTCAAAGGGTAGAAGTGGACATTTAAAATTGAATGGGTTAGGGGTAGGTTAACTGAATTTGGATAATAGTGGATTTCAGGTAGGAAAATAATAATAATCCACTATGTAGGCAAGTTTTAATATAATCCCAGCGTGTTTTCGATTTTCTAAATACTCTGGGATCAACCTGAGTCAGCGCTCAACTTCTTTCAGGACATTCGTAACAACTATGGCCTGGATGTTTATAACAACAATAGTGTTGACACAGGAGTGAGAACTGAATCGACTGAGTGTAGATCAAGTCTTTCAAAACAAGATACTGAACGGTGTTTATACAGACATAATAAGGAAACCAGGTGTATATTGAGATGATTAGTAATGATAACCACGGTAATAGGAATAAGATTAATTAGGTGAAACAAAGGAGTGAAGGAAAACAAAAATGTTAGACGGTGATAATTAAGAGCAAAGAGCAAGTAAGGAAGATTAAATATGATTAGACGATGTAGTAATTCCTACCATGGCAGATCCAAGCTGACTGGCATTTCCTTCTGAATGCAAAGGTTTGGTCTGACAACTCAAGTCGCGCAGGCTTCTGCTTCTACTGATAACTGTAAACGACTTACAGGTATCAATATCATATCTATAATCAATTAGGTGTTTCGTTATCGAGCTCCTCGGGGTCTCCTTTCAGCATACTTCAATTATTTGGGTAGGTGCTCAACCAACCGGTTAGAAAGATGTCTCTATGTACGGCTAATGCATTTGCTACCGCAGGTACATTCAAATTGATATATGCATTTAGATGTGTCGAGGATCGGAGCCCTGTCTTACCCTGATTGTTTCAGTACCCTTTTGGTGGTACTGAGGAGAACGAGTTAAGCAGCGCAATAAGTCCTTCTGACAGACTTCTCCCATCTTCGTCTAAATGTTTTTAACACATAGTCACCTTTGAAAGGCAAGGTTGTGATTATATATCAGTACTGTTCGCTGGATAGGCTTTTCTTGCAGAAACGTAGTTAGGATCTTTTATCCTCACTTTTTGACCTGTGGCAACTGTGCCAGAAAACACATGAACGAGGGCATAGAAACAAATTATGTCGCATACTGACACCATTTTACTTATGTACATTACAGAGTCATTCAGATCGCAGTTTTTCATAGCAATAAGCGGTCCATCTTCTAGATGTCCTTCGTAAAACATTTCTATCCTGTACTATTGTGAAACAACCGGATTGGGTAGATGAAGGCATATCATCTACAGTAGCGAATGACCGGCTGGTAGCCACTTATGGAGTGCTGATTTCAATAGCTGTTTATCAGGAAGAAACCTTTCTGCTTCATTCACAGTTATTTCTGTTTTGGTGAGAAGTTCAGTTTGCTCTTCATGATGGTTTCAAAAATCATGCATATAGGAGATAGTACAAGATGATTGAATACACGGATACCATCACTAACTGGTTTCCCTTTTGTCCATTTTTTTGTCTTGGTATTATAAAAATTGTCACCACAAAGTGGTTCAACAAGCTTGTCCGGTTCAATTTTGAATTTACTTGCGTACAGTCAAGCAAACATAATCAGTGAGAAGGCCCAACTCTGCAAGCCAGAACAGTTCCTTTCACCACATCTACAGACAGGTTAACCATAGCAGAGTTAGCAGTTTCAAACTCTGAAATGATCATGTTGACGTCTTCAATCATTCTTTGAAACTTTTGATACAATTCCTCCATTTTACAGCTCAAAGTTGTGACCGCCATGTTCATCTTATTCATAAATAACGCTGGTTTATTACGTTCGGTGAGAGCCTGACGCAACACAGTTTCAGGTTGTACGCATACGTCTGACACAGTTCATTACGACTGAGGCACTATGAGTAACACGAAGAGCTGCAGTGACTTCCGAAGAAAAATCCATGTGTCTATAAGATTTATTAAAAAACCTTTTCTTTTCTTTCCTCTTGACGTTAACAGTTAGCGGTTGGATGGCTTTTATGCACTGTACTACACCGTTCTTGTTCAAATTGTGTATCCCAAGTATAGCATGTAAGCAATCATACAAACACTAGAATTAAAAGCCTAAGTAGGCTACGCAAAGTTTAAATTTATAATAAAATGGTTGAGATTTGAAGGGCTAAACGACCAAGTTACTGACCTAATTTAGATTTATTCGAAGAAAATATCAGCTAGGAAATAAAATTATATTCATCATTCTTATTTCATCTTGACACTATTTATCTGTTGTAAACTCATTCAACTACTTGTTGAACTCAGTCTTCAAACTACTTCTTAGTAAAACTCTGTTGAAGATTATTATTCTCCGGTAATATATAGAGTCGAATTGGTCGAGTTCTGTTGACAGATTGACTACTATGCAGATGCCTCGATACTGTAGGATATTGATGATGTTATATTCATCTTGGTGACCAACAGTGGAATCCACGACATGCGTTTCGTCCTTACTCGGGACTTGTTAGCTGGATGCACCTGGACCCCCAGTGAATAGTGTTGTTCCCCCCCCCCCCAGTATGCATCGCTTCGAACACCAAGATGAATAGTGTATTTGAAATAACGCCTATACTGATGTCGAAAGTTTTGTGTATGGAAATTTAGTATCTTTGTACGACTATAATACCATTTGTTTGAAATCACATTCATGAATGTTACGGTGATGCGTGCTACTTATAAGAAAACATATAAGTAGAATATACTGCGGTGTTAATGATAAAGGTGAAAAGGGTTGATATTGATGTTTAGATGAAAAAAATATTGAAAAGAAACACGAAAGACAAGTGATAGAAACGGAAAGATAACTGTAATGAATTTCACTATTTAACTCCTTTTTTATTGCTTCAAAGTATGCGATGTTCACGACCTTGATGGTGTGACAGACTAGAGAAGTGTGGGCTTTGAAGCTGAATTGTAAAGTGTTATATTATGGTTTGTGCAAAAAGTAAATAGTTGTTATAGAAAAAGCAAAGATATGAGAATAGAATCTCTACATTAGAATAATTGATTAGACTATTTTTTTGCTTTATTATAAAACATTTTGCCCAGAACCGATTCGATGGTAGAGTATTTATGCTGGGTGATGATTGAAGGTGAAATGAAAATTTGGGCAGCGATGGGACTTAAACCCGTGACAACTAGGTTTCTGGCTCAATTGAGCTACGAGGCTCAATTGCTCACCAGATTTTTATTTAACTTCAATCACCAAAGGTTTCACCCGACTACCATGAGAATTCGTAACACCTTACTACCGCTTGATGGTACTCACACTGGCTACCCAGTCAGGACTTCTCATCCCACTCAAAATCTAACTGAATTAGAAAGGGGGAGCATCATATTGATTACCACTATGGCTATCTGAGTTAGCTACCGTAGTTTGGGAGACTAGTATTGATATCGTGTAATAAATTCAGTTAGATTAGGATTGGGATGAGGAGTCCTGACTAAACAGCCAATGTGAGTACGATCAAGATGTGGTAAAGTGTCACTAATTCACATGGTAGTCGGGCAAAAATCCTTGGTGATTGAAGTGAAATAAAAATCTGGCCAGCAGTTGGGCTTCGTAGCTCAGATGCTGAAAATAATAGTAGGCTATTTGTTGATCATACCTTTATTTCGTGTAGTTTACAATTTTGAAATAAATGGTTAATAACGTAGGCTATGTAATTCCGTTTTCTCGGAACGAAATGCATCATCTGATTTTTGTGAATCAGTGTACGTTAAGAGTCGATTATTCATATGCATCTATGTATTTACCGACACTTCTACGACACACCGGCAAGTGAAGCAGAACAGGCTCCAGGTGACAGAGACCTGACAACATTGTATCAAATAACCAGATTACTATCTGGGAGGAAAGAGATCAACACTGATGAAACCAATGGAAGATAGTGAAAAAAAACGTAGTTACCGCCAAAGAGGAGGAAGAAAGGAAACAATAGGCTGACAACTTCAAAAAACTCTTGAGTCAACAACCACCAACACCTCCTGCAACTCGTCCAGAAATACCACCACCAGCAGCCCAGTCATACAACTATCAGTGAACTCAAACCCTCCGACAAAAGCAGAAGTCCTGAACGACATCAAGTTGTCGAAATCCCTCAAAGCGACAGGACCAGAAGCACTGAGAACAGACGCAGAGACAACAGCGGACACACTCATACCACTACTACAGAAGGTTTGGAAGGAAGGAAGGAAGGAAGAGTACCTGCCCACTGATTGGAAGAATGGCTAACTTGTCAAAGTCCCACAGAAGGGAGACCTCAGTGTTCGCAAGAACTGGCGCACAATCACGCTGCTGTCTACACAAAGTAAAATATTAAGCCGCATCGTTCTGGAGAGACTAAAATATGCGCTGGATTCAAAATACGACAGGAACAGGCTGACTGGATCCGGAAGAACAAATCATGTGCGAATCAAATTGCAACTCTGCGTTATGCATCATCATAGGACAGAGCGTAGAATGACAGTCAACTCTCTACCTCAACTTCATAGTTTTCGGAAAGGCCTTCGACAGCGTCGACTGAGAAGTAATTTGGAAACTGCTTCAACACTGCGGTTTTAGTGCCACAAACCTTTATCAACCTCATTCAATAGCTATATGACAACGCCATATGCCAATTGATGCAAAATGGAAAGCAAGTCAGTGATACCTTTGAAGTGAAGACAGGAGTAAGACAAGGCTGCCGCCAACTATCATCAATGATCTTCCTAATTGTGGTCGACTGGATTATGCAACAAACTATGAGGAGTGAGAAGAGTGGCATACCTTGGCTGGAACGATGAAAAGACCCCAGAAGATTTGAATTTCGCCGATGATGATTTGTGTTTCACGCCACACAAGCTCGAAGATCTAAAGGTGAAAACTAACAAGTTGGCAGAAGAAGCAGCAAAGACGCGACTTCATGCGGACGTAGAGAAGACAGAGGTGATGAAAATATCCAGCCAACAATAACAGCACCAATCACTCTCAACGGGAGAAACATCAAGGAAGTAGTATCTTTCACCTACCAACCAGGCAGCATCGTTTCAACTAAAGGCGATGGAACAAATGACCATGTCAAAACCAGGATCGGAAAAACAGAAAGACACACCTTCCTTCCTCAACCTGAAATCAGTGTACACATCTACTGCACTCAGCATAAAGCGCGATCAACACCCCCATTCTCAACACTAATTCAGTCAAGTAAGTCAGTGTTTCTATGTGATGCTTCAGAGACTTGGCGTGTCATGAAAAGCATTTCCAACAAACTACAGACACTCATCAACAGATACCACCTACACTCACTCGACACTGACATTGAAGATCAGATGGTCAGAATAATAAGAATAAGTAACAACGAACGCTAGTTGGCTGCCTGCCTGCCTGGCAACAAACCAACGAAGCAAGAACCAGTCACTCAACAAGTATGCAGAAGAAGAAAGTGCAGATGGATTGGAGTGGACATACACTGAGAAAACCGTACTGAGACATCAAGAGCCAGACGAGGCCGTCGAGTAGGACCCAAATGGGAAACGACGAGCTGGGTGTCTGAGACGAGGGTGACATGGAGATCATGTGAGGAAGAAATGAAAGCTTGTAGGCAGTCGTAGAGTCAGGCTAAAAAGAGTGAAGAGAAGAGAGTGAAATGGAGACGTGCTATTGAAGTCCTATGTTCCAGTAGGAACCCAAGAGACAAGTAATAATAATAATAATAATAATAATAATAATACATATCAGTAGAGGTGGAGTGACTTAGAGAGATAACTATCAACTATTGAGGCACGGGTTCCAGCCCTGCTTCACCCACCGAGAGTCAGGTAGTGTCACTAGCCCTAACACAATAGATGTAACTCATTGTCTACTACTGCACGAATGTGAACAGGGTAGCTAAATGCGTTTCATTTGTTCGTCGTTCAAGTCGCTAATATTATTGTTATTATCTTCTAATGAATGAAGTTCGTGACGCGAACCACTATAGTTAATCATTATATGGATTGTGCACAGGTGAATTAACCACTTATTCAGTCAGGACTACAAGCAAACTAAAATTATGTAATAGTTTAAGTCATCACAATATTTGTTCTACGGTGTAATCCAGTAATAAGTGAAGCAGTAGTGCCAGCGGCTGTCAACCTATACTTACCGGTAACCAGAATATGTTTATATGTTAATCTTTTGCTCTTGAAATCCTAGAGTAGATGAGTATTACTACTTTGAAAGTAATAGTCTCCCAATTCTACTGGATAGAGACTCGTTGTCATAGTAAGGCAGTAAATACAAATTTCGCTGATAAAGACTGAAAACTAATGTCTTTGAGATAGTATTTCTATAGGAATAGTGATGGGATTCATTTACTTTTACTTACAATAGGCCAATATGCTTCTGTAAAACGAAAACGGGGCTGAAATACAATTTCATGTGTGCAACTTAACATTTAATGATATTGTTTCCTGCAATACTGAAATGCAAGAAGAACATAGAAAATTGTCAGCTTAACAATAGATTCTAAGATGATCTATTTGCTTTTTGGGTAGAAATGAAGGATAATACTCCTTAAAAAATTCTGAAATCTGCCGCGAGTATACAGAAAACACATCTTATATTCAAAAGTCTTTAACAAAACGTAAGCATTTCATAAAGATATTCTTCAGATTACTTCAAACTCCATTGATTAGCTGTTTATGATAGTCTAGTAATGATATATTACATCGATATACTAAATCCATCTCTAAAGTGATGCAGACTGAAACCTTATCATCTACTGTCTTGATTAGATGATTTTTAATAAGAATCCTGTGAACGAAACCAACTAGTAGTTTTTATGGACAGCAGTTCGAACAGGATAAATCCAATTCATATTCATCATTTAGCTTTCATGCATTTCTCTTTTTAACTCCAATTAAATAAATAATCTATTTGACAAAAATTCACCTTAAAGGATATATATATATATATATATATATATATATATATATATATATATATATATATCAATGGTAATAGTTACAATACAGATGAATACTCTGATTGAGAAAAAGGTTTACAGAAAACTGTCAATAAGGAATACCCTACATAAAATATAAATGTATACCTACCTTTCTACGAGCCCAAGCTGGTAGTGCACTAACACTAAAATAGAATGTAGGCTTTTTTGTACTGTGATATCCACCATTATTGTCATTTTGATTGACTGAGGTCACAAGAGTAGGGGGCATTGTAGGCACTCCTTGTGTTTTACTCATATGACTAGTGGTGGTCACAGGATCGCACCAACTATTTGAATCATTTTCACTAGGTTAGAAAAAAAAGTGAACGAGATTATATGAAATTGTTCAATCAAGAGGTTTCAATAAACTAGACTAGAAGTATTGACTGGATAGTGTCCATGTTACGGATAGGGAATTAAGGCAAGTAGTCAATTGGCGAAATTATCAGGTTGTATCGACTGATGTAGATTTAGAAATATGTTCACTGAAGAAGATGACATAACTTCATGAAGTCATTGTTAACTGGACCCCGATTGGTATGCGAAGCTGTGGGTTTTTTCTGCAAATGACTGGGTGATCGGAGACTGTTTAAACACGGATGAGAATCACCACTACAAGCGAATACGTACAACACGCTAAAAATATTTGAACCAACTATACTGAAGAGAATAGGAAGTATTACATCACACATCAGCCAGGAAGTCAGAAATCAACCAAATACTATCTCAGACCTTACTCTTAGAAATAGGATATCGATTGGTGAAATCATATTAAGCATACAGTTGTGCATAACCTCTACAGTCTTCAAGTTCCAGGACAAAATATACAGACAAACAGAAGCAGTAGTACTGGGATCACCAATATCTCCAACCATAGCAGATATATTCATAGATAGTTGGGAAAGCATGGCGTTACGAATGTTCAATCCTGCACCCAAGATATGGTGGCGATGGTGTTGAAATCGGAACATATCGATAGTTTTCTCACACGTATAAACTCAGTAGTGTACGCAATCCAATTCACTTACGAGGTAGAAAATGAACAAGGAGAATTGGCTATGTTGGATTGCAGAGTGAAACGAAGGACAGACGGCGGTCTCGATAACTACCATCTGCAGGAAACCGACACATTCTAACAGATATGTAGACTTCAAGTCATCTCATCCAATGTCAATTAAAGTGGGTTTACCCAAATGTCAGTTTAAGGATTTAAACAATGAATTGAAATACACAAAACAAGTAATAAAAATTATCCTCTGTAGTTTAGGAAGAAATTCGTACGAACACACAAGAAATGAAATAATAACAGTAACACGAGTACGAGTAATAACGGCAACACGAGTTGAATCGAGTTTACAGTCTCCATTGTGTTACCATATAAGGAAGGAACATCAGGAACATTACGTAGGATCGTCAACAAAGCTACAATTAGGGTGGCATTTAAGCCTATAAACTCACTAAGAGATAAGCTTTGTCAGCTTAAGGATACGATAGATCCAATTCAACAAAATAATCTAATCTATCAAATTCCATGCAATGACTGTAAGGTCAAGCACATAGGTTAAACTAGCCCGGTCGGTTGGGGTCAGTTAGATTAGTGGAACATAGGAAATTAACTAAATACAAAACGATAGACCCAAATAAGATCGGTAATTTATAAAAGAACTCAGCTATTGCAATGCATCCATTAACAAGTACACAAACACACGATAGGGTGGGGTAAAACACCTATACTAGAGATATAGAAAATTTTACTACTGATAGAAACAAAGAATATCAGGTGACAGAACTATAAAAATGAGATATCGAAAGGAGTGTGATCATACTGATATGATTATTAAGAATAATTTATGCTCGAGACGTCATCAAGCAAATAATATCGTGCTCTATATATCAAATAAACAAATCTAATACGGAAATACAACAATGTATCTCAACCGGAACCATATGTTAGTGCACTAGGCTATAAGTCAAATTTGTCATATACAGGTCAACGATACTACTCGGTTGTAAAGACTAAAGTAGGTGGGATCAAGATTTGAATCCAGTACTGATTGTTTGAAAATTGAACATTCAAACTAATAATTCAAAGTTTCATCTAAGATCCTCAAGGTCACAGTAATTATCTAGAAACTTAGATAATGCATTAATGCATTTTACTCCTAACTATTCTGGTCTGCTATTATTGGAAATATTGTTTTGTTCATAACATATATGAAGAGTTGGATTACCTGAAAACAGGTGAATATGTTATTATGAAAAACTTTATTATAATTCCAAACCATAACTATGAATGTGATACGCATTGTGGAGTGCCAGAATGATACATGAAATTGAAAGGAAAAAAACTGAATCAACTTATTGTTAAATTTAATTCTAGAGGTTGGTATTGTACTGCATCATCAAGGTGTTTTCATGTGGTAGTTACTAAGGTTTAGAAAAACTAATTGACAAGTGTTCTAATTACATTCATAGTAACAGGATAAAACACTCCTTTAATTGAGGACTACATAAAACTTAAGTGAAAACTAACACTTGATAGAAGAGGCAGCGAAGACGGGACTTCCTTCAAGTCAATTTAGAGAAGACAGGCAGGATGAAGATACCCAACCAACATCACCACAACAACAACAAGCACCAATCACCATCAACGGGAGAAACCTAAAAGAAGTAGTCTTTTTCACCTACCAACTAGGCAGTATCGTTTCAACTACATGCGGTACAGACGAGGAAGTCAAGACCAGGATCAGAAAAGCAAGACAGGCTTTCACTAATCTGAAAGATCTTCAGCAATCAGCTCAAAGAACAAGATCTAGATTTTCAACAACAACGTCAAGTCAGTGCTTCTGTGTGGTTCAGAAACTTGGCACGTCACGAAAAGCACTTCCAATAAACTACAGACATTCATCGACAGCTACCTATGCTTGATACTGAAGATGAGATGGCCAAAGAGAATAAGAATAAGCAACAACGAACTCAGTCAACAAACCAACCAACAACCTATCACGCAATAAACATGCAGAAGAAAGTGTAGATGGATTGCACTGGATATACACTGAGAAGGGCGACTGGGGACATCACGCGCCAGGCCGTCGAGTGGAATACAAATAGGAAAGGATGAGTTGGGCGTCTGAGACGAGGGTGACATAGAGGAGATTGTGTGAGAAAGAAATGAGAGCTTGTGGACAGCCGTGGAGCCAGGTTGAAAAGACTGAAAAGAGGGTGCAATGGAGGCGTGCTACTGAAGCCCTATGTTCCACTAGGAACCGAAGGGAAAAAAAAATAACGAAATAATGAAACCTAAATGGTTAAACTCAGTCGACTAATATAACCGATGAATTACGCAAACAGTAGTCAGTCTAAACATTTGATCGAGGAAGTAATGTCTATCTTAATAATAAGGCTATTTAACACAATCTAATCAATAATCGACAAAAAAATTAGCTTACTTGACAATAGATTTACTTTTTTTCATACGACGTATCACTAAATTTGATGAATCGATTGATAATAAATCATCTAAAGGAAATGAATCGAATTCATTGTCATCATCATCATCATCATAATCAATATCCAAATTTTCCATTTTATCATATTCTCCAAGTGAATCATTCCATTCCGATGGTGGTATCGTTTGACTGAATGATGTCACGTCATCATCATCATCATCATTATCATCGTCAGCGTCATCATCATCATTGTAGTCAACATACTCATCACCATGATTATGATTATCATATAGTAGTAGATTATTACAATGATTCATTGTTTTTTCACGATCATCATCACTACTTATTTGTTTATAGGTGTGTTTATGAAAAGCAGTTAGATTTGAACAAGATGATTTCATAGGATTACTGTGTAGACGAGGATACTCAGAACGATTTACTTGATATAATCCATTACCACTGACACTTCCACCTTCTCCTCTTAATGTTGTTGTCATTGTTCCTAATGGTATACCATCTAATTGAGGATAACTAATTGAATTGCCTAATGAACATTTAGGTATATAGGATGATGCTGATACTGATGACGATGAAGTAAGACGTTCACGTAAATATTGTGTTAGATTCGATGATAAACGCCAGACAAATATACAACTATCTGCACTGACTGATATTAAATAGCGTAGATTTGGTAGAAATCGTAAGCCTAAGCTTAACTCTGAATGACCATATAGTGTAGCTATCGAATCACCAGTGAGTAAATGAAACAAATTAAGCTGTTTATCTGAACCTAAACAAAAAAATACAGAGGAGTTAGCGTAAAATAACTACAGGTAGTCAGAAGTTATACTGCATAAATCTAATGGATAAAAAAAATCTCTAAAAATATGATCAGATTTGATAAAATCTCCAGCTTTTACAGAAGCTATTTTACCCTTTAACTCTACATTATATAGTCTATTCGTGTTTGAAACATACCTCAGAAAGAGACCAACAGACAGACAGATTAACGTAGAACTTCGTAGAGAATCTCAGTGGTTGTGACTATCCGTTAAGACAAAACATGGAAGTCTAACAAAAGCTGTAAGAGACGATCATCACTATCGATTTGATTTTTCGGGAAACTGAAAATGGAGTGAAAATGCTCATCTATTTGCTTCAACCTTACTACTTAAAAAATAAATTGATTGGTTGATTCGAATATTTTTATGCATAAAGAACAAGATCTGGATTTCCAACAATAATGTCAAGTCAGTGCTTCTATATGGTTCAGAAACTTGGCGTGTCACGAAAAGCATTTCCAACAAACTACAGACATTCATCAACAGATACCACCCACACTGACATTGAAGATCAGATAGCCAGAATAATAGAATAAGCAACAACGAACTCTAGTTGGCTGCCTGCCTGCCTGCCTGGCTGGCAACAAACCAACGAAGCAAGAACACGTCGCCCAACAAATATGCAGAAGAAAGTGGAGATGGATTGGATTGGGGATACACTGAGAAAACCGTACTGAGACATCAAGAGCCAGACGAGGCCGTCGAGTAGGACCCAAATGGGAAACGACGAGCTGGGTGTCTGAGACGAGGGTGACATGGAGATCATGTGAGGAAGAAATGAAAGCTGGGAAGTCGTGGAGACAGGTTGAAAAGACTTCAGAGAAGAGAGTGAAATAGAAACGTGCAAGTGAAGGCTAATATTCGACTAGGAATCCAAGGGACAAATAATAATAATAACATGGAGTATATAGATAGCTTGATAGTTTTTCATAGAACCACTGTTTAACAGTACTAAAAAAACATCGAGCAGTGAATAGCAAGACAAAGTACGAAAAAAAGTAACAGGCGCCAAATTGCTTTACGGTCCTCCAGGATACTTAAACACTAGTAGGGTTTTTTGAAAGTTATTACTAACTAGGATTTCATCCCCGTGTGTACCAGGAGGCAATGGTGCGCCTTTTTAAGGAGGAGGCCTACTTAAATTTTGGACTAATAACACATTTCAGTATGTTTTAGTCGTTTAAATGTCTTCTGAACCCGTCATGTACTCTCGCACGTTTTTAAAAATTGATTTTGTTTTTTAGAACTTTCATTTTTTAAGCTAGAAATAAAATAAAAACGTTCTACCGGTTAGAAATAGATTTTTAAATGCTCAAAAATACACCACATTACTATTCCTAGGATATCTGTATGGGATTGTAAATTTCTGTGCTGGCTAACTGAACTGTTAACATCAAAATTACACTCGATTTTGTGTTAATTTCTGAATCGAGAACAAATGTTAATAGAACATTAGATGCCTATTTCATGTTTATGCCTTCACTACTGCTATTATTGTTAATACTTTGCAGACGTAATAATTATCTCTTTTAAATATATTGTACGGAAAGCAAATTTGTTGAAATATTCTATGCTGCAAGTTCTATACTGTATCATACATGTTGTTTGGAATAAAGAGGTATATTATTATTACTGTTATTATTACATCTATACCTACAAGTCTAAAGAATCTATTGATATACGTCATAATTACTTCGAGAATGAATCATATAATAATCAAAAATGCCTGAATAAAGTTAAGTATATAATCAGATTTGGATGTTAAATGTACACTTTGGAAACTGAATTTTCATTCACAACTTTGGAATCCGATTGTTTAGTTTGATAAAACCAATCATTCGACTCAATATAATATTCAGATACTGAAAGCTATAATATACAATTGATAGTTTTGGTTTTCAATTCAAGAAACAGTAAAATGACATTTCATACAAGTAAATATTTATCTGTAATAGTAGAGTAATACAAATTCAATCAGACTTTGACAGGATAATAGTGTTAATGTGAGAAATAATGAATGAATGAGAGAGATGAAGACAAAAAGAGACCACTATGCTGTTCAGTTAGATAACAATCTCCAGTTTCGGATATTTTGAAAGTTATGTGAAATGCAACTCAACTCAGTACATATTTTGTGTAGTAAGCTAAGAGTGACACAATGTCTAAAGGCTAGTGATATTATCCGATCACTTCGACCGAAGTAGATGTGTAGTAGGGTAGAAACTCAAAACTTATTCACTGAAAGTCGAGATGGCTTGAGTCAATATGCCCCACTTCATGAAAAAGCGAATGGAGGCATCATATGAATTTTAAAAAATCCAAAAACATTCTAACGCTGTTCATATATGATTTTTACATTCATTTAATACTTTCCTTAAACAAAACTCAGTAGTTAAAGAAATATGGAATATAAGAAAACTTTTAAATTACCGTTTCAAGAAAGTGGTCACAAAATCACTGGAAATATTTTAATGCTGTCATATCACTTTAAGGTAAAGATTAAAAGTTCCTTCTAGGCGTAAACCATAGTGGAATTTACTCACAATATAGCAAAATAAATACAGTCGCATTTATCAACAAACAGATTCGTATAGTATGTTAGAATCTACAGGAACACACATCATGCTTAGCAGAACTGGTGAAACTATAGAACAACTCTAAAATGATCTTGGATGTACCAATAGAATAACGGATGTTTCTCTTCAATTTTTTAACACAGAGATGAAGTATGATATGAACGTTAGTAGGCTTTTAAAACTTTACCTATCACCTCTAAATTATTTTTATAAACTCCTGTTGAAGTACTTAACAATTATAGTCTGAGGAAGAAAAATAAATCAGTCTCATGAAAGTGGATGATAGGTAACAATCTATAGATTTCAAAGCAAATAACTTGAAAATGAGGTCAAATAGCGAATAGGCTTTCTTATCACCATTAGCATTTTAAAAGAGAACCTACTCGCTATTTGTTTGTTGCTTTATGACTTACTAGGTATTAAGAACATACTTGAAATTAAATAGTACACAGTTTATGGTGTTAAAGGTTATGATTAGGTTTTGAGGCGCGCAACCTAATATTGGAGCATAATTCAAACTAAAATTCTTGTCATTTATAGAGAAGATAGGAATATTTAAAAAGAATTGTGTGAGACGGTAATTTGATAAGTAATTCACTTTGATTCAATCGAAAGTATCGTCACAGCGAAACCCTTTCGATAACTTAAAGTTTTCCAGAACGATCTCATCATCACCTTCAAGTTGATTAGTCAATTCAAGGTCATTTGATAATCGTTAAATAGCTACTTCAAAAGAAGTAATTATCAACTCATCGGTCATATAGACATCCATTGCTAATTTCAAGCAAAATACAACAAAACTAAAATAGAAATGATTAATTTTCACGATCCACGTTGACATTTCTTATAGTTGATTAGTTTTAACAATTGTTCAATTATAGTGTCAGCAAGGTTTCCGTTAACCTCGCCTGGTTAACTAGTTTACTAGTTACTAGCCGGTCCTAAGCCCGGGTAAACAGGGAAGGTTGGGCATAAGGCTAGCAACCCTACCCCGTAAAACAAATCTAACCGCTAAACAAACTTCAAAGCATAAACAAAATATAAAAAATGAAAACAAACTTATTCCCCGCTGGAATCGGAGAGGCGAAATGACGCCAGTTGGTGAAAGCCTTCGGGAAGCCAATTGGCCGATGTGTCTTCTCTCGATGAAAGCGAAAGTAAACGTGGGGACATGGAATGTCCGTACGATGTTTGAACCCAGTAAGGCAGCCCAGATTGCAAAGGAGATGAGAAGGTATAACATCGAAGTGCTTGGGATTTGCGAAAGCAGATGGAATGGGAGTGGACTCTCCAAACTGTCAACTGGAGAATCAATAATCTACTCCGATATTGTCACCCAGACGCCAACCACGAGCACACTGAGTTATGGAGTGGCTATCATGATGTCCTCAAGAGCATCGAAGGCTCTCATTCAGTGGGGACCAATCTCCTCCAGGATCATGACAGCAAGATTCAACTCAAAAGGAAGAAAGGTCACAATCATACAATGTTATGCACCTACAAATAATGCAGAGCAAGAGAAGAAGGAGGATTTCTACAGACAACTTCAGTCAACACTGGACAAGACGTCAGTTGGCGATATCAAAATTCTGATGGGCGACATAAATGCCAAACTGGGGGGGGACAACACAGGAAGAGAACTAATCATGGGTCGAGAGGCGCTAGGTGAAATGAATGAGAATGGAGAATTGTTTGCAGAATTCTGTGCATTCAACCATCTGGTGATTGGAGGCAGTGTGTTCAGGCACAAAGATATCCACAAAGCGACATGGATTTCACCAGACCAGGACACACTAAAAATCAAATCGACTTTATCTCAATCTCAAGAAAATGGAGACGCAGTCTACTTAACACGAGGTCAAGAAGAGGAGCAGATGTAGGTTCAGACCACTACCTAGTGCAAGGAACCTTCCAAATCAAGTTAAAAGCCTTCAAGGAAGCTGGTGATAGACCTCAACCCAAGTACAACACTCGGAAACTGAAGGATGAAACTACAAAGATCTTCACGTCAGCCATCAAGACAAAATGGGAGACATCGAGGAACATCCCTGAAGAAACCTGTGTGGAAGAACACTGGAAGTCTTTGAAAGCTATATGAAAAGAAACCTGCACAACAGTATTAGGAAGGAAGAAGAAAGAAGACAAGGAATGGATCTCGACGGATACCTGGAAGCTGATAGAGGAGAGGAGGATGGTGAAGCAGAAGATAAACCAGTGCAAGGATGCACAACAAGAGGAGGAAGTGAGCACAATGTATAAAACACTGGACAAAGAAGTGAAGAAGAGTGCACGCAACGACAAAAGACACTTCTACGAAACACTGGCAAGTGAAGCAGAACAGGCTGCAGGTAAGAGAGACCTGACGACATTGTATCAAATAACCAGGTTGCTGTCAGGGAAGAGACCAACACAGATGAAACCAATAAAAGATGAAGAAGGAAATTTAATTACGAAAGAAGAGAAACAGAGGAAACGATGGGCCGACCACTTCAAGAAGCTCTTGAATCGACCACCACCTGCACTTCGTCCAGAAATACCACCTGCAGCCGCTGAATTACAAGTGAACATAAATCCCCCAACGAAAATGGAAGTCCTGAACGCCATAAAGCTACTGAAATGCGGGAAAGCAGCAGGACCAGATGGAATACCGCCAGAAGCACTGAGAACAGATGCAGAGACAACAGCGGATATGCTCACACCACTATTTCAGAAGGTGTGGAAGGAAGAGAAGGTACCTGACGATTGGAAGAAGGGTTACCTTGTCAAACTGCCGAAGAAAGGAGACCTCAGTGCTTGCAAGAACTGGTGCGGAATCACTCTCCTGTCCACCCCAAGTAAAATATTAAGCCGCATCATCCTACAGAGGCTTAAAGACGCACTGGATTCAAAACTGCGACCGGAACAGGCAGGCTTCAGGAAGTACAAATCATGTGCAGACCAAATTGCAACGCTACGCATCATCATAGAACAGAGCATAGAATGGCAATCAGCTCTCTACCTCAACTTCATCGACTTTGAGAAGGCCTTTGACAGCGTCGACTGAGAAGTAATTTGGAAACTGCTTCAATACTACGGAGTACCGCAAACCTTTATCCGCCTCATTCAACAACTATATGAAGATGCCACATGCCAAGTAATCCACAATGGGAAGCTCAGTGATGCCTTTGAAGTGAAGACAGGAGTGAAACAAGGTTGCCTACTATCCCCCATGATATTCCTTATTGTGGTGGACTGGATCATGCAGCAAACAGTAGGCAGCGAGAAGAGGGGGATACACTGGACGACGGAAAAGAACCTAGAAGACTTGGATTTCGCCGATGACTTGTGCCTAATGTCACACAAACTTGAAGATCTGCAGGCAAAAACTAACAAGTTGATAGAAGAGGCAGGGCAGCAAAGACGGGACTTCAGGTGAATATAGAGAAGACAGAAGTGATGAAGATACCGCACCACCACTATCAACAACAACAACAAACTCCAATCATCGTCAACGGGAGAAACTTAAAGGAAGTAACCTCCTTCACTTATCTAGGAAGCACTGTTTCGACTACAGGCGGGACAGACGAGGATGTCAAAGTCAGAATCGGAAAAGCAAGACAGGCGTTCATTAGCCTGAAACCAGTGTGGAGATCTTCTGCACTCAGCATGTGGAACAAGATACGGATTTTCAACACCAACGTCAAGTCAGTGCTCTTGTATGGTTCAGAGACTTGGCGCGTCATGAAAGGCATTTCCAATAAACTACAGACATTCATCAACAACTGCTTACGCTCGCTACTGAAGATCATATGGCCAGAAAGAATAAGCAACAAGGAACTCTGGGAACGAATCAACGAAGAACCTATCACGCAACAAATATGCAGGAAGAAGTGGAGATGGATAGGCCATGCACTGAGAAGGCCGACTGGGGACATCACGCGTCAGGCCAGGTACTCGAGTGGAATCCCCATGGGAAGCGACGAGTTGGTCGTCCAAGGGTGACATGGAGGAGGTCGTGCGAGGAGGAAATGAGAGGTTGTGGGCTGTCGTGGGACCAGGTTCAAAAGATCTCAGAGAACAGAGGTCACTGGAGGCGTGCTACTGAAGCCCTATGTTCCACTAGGAACCCAAGGGACTAATAATAATATAATAATATAAGATTTCCGTTGGAAATCATTCAGTAGCCATGATCACAAACTGTGACACAAACATGTAATGAATTAACGAAATATACTGATGAAAGACATAAATAGCTGGAGACTTCTAGTACTGACATGTAGATTTCGCTAGGTGGAACAGTGTTGCGTAAACACTGGAAGATCGCTTCTCCTGTCTCGGGTGGAGCTCATCACTGGTGAACGTGGATCAGTTGCCTTAAACGATTGAAACGGTTATCCAATGTTTAGATCACTCTTATCTGCCTGGCTAAATTTACAGATCAATGTTAGAGGTTTGTAACTAATCAAGTTGTTCAGTAGTATACTTCACAAGAAAACTGGATTTTTTTTTAGACTTTTACTACGTGTCTGTTACCAGACAAGACTCATCTTGACCTTGTTAAAGAAGATGAAATATTGATAAAAGTTAAAGCATATTTCAAGCAATTTACTGATAAACATCAATTTTAGAAATAAGTAGATAGACGACAACATTTTTTAATGTATGAATCTATTTGTACTTAATATTTCTTAAAAATTACGCAAACATATTGACTAGCACAAACGTACCCGATGTTGCGATAATAGATCCAGTTGGATCGATTGAACAACGAACAAGGAAACCATCTTCAGTATAACTTCCACGATAACAGCGTACAGGACGTGCTGTAACAATATTATAAATTCTCAGCCTTCTATCTTGACATGCAACAGCTAGATATCGTTTACGATTAGTAGGATTTGTACGATTATCAAATGAATTAACCAATGTAGGTGTAATTGCAGCATCTAACTGTGAATGACGTCCAACTAGATGGTGTTCCAATGCAAAATGAGCTGTTTGACCAGATTCATCAGGCTTGAATGTAAAAGGAAGAGAAGAAAGCATAAATGTTTAGTACAGAAAGCGTATCCATGTTAAAATATAACAATAGTTTACGAAATTTAATCATAATCCTTTGAAAGTACTGAAAATGACTCAAGTGTTCTCTTCAATGCATCTTTAGAAATATCCTAGTAAAGACTAATTTAAACATGGATGATATTCACACCAACATAATTACCTTAATGAAGAAACAACTTCCTTATAGCACAAAACACTACTTGATGTGCAGATATATACAATTCTTCCGAGAGATTCGAACTCGTTTCACCATGTATTGCAGCTAGATACAAAGTAGACTATGACAGTGAGTTTTCAAGTTTGGTGATCATACTGAAAAATGATCGACAGAATTCCGTCAGCAGTTAGGAAATTGGTTTCTCAAAGTTACGAACTTTGTGTACATATTATAGAGATCTAATGACAATTATTTATGTATAACAGGTCGAAAATATAAGTATATAGACTTAATGTGATAAGTGTGCATTTAGGTTGTATATAGTACAGCGTCTAGGATAAAAGTCACAAGAGCAGATGATTGATCAGCGAATGTTGAGCAGACAGAGACAAGATCAATTGAAAGAAGTTAGAAGAGAACGTAGCTAAAAGACCAATACGAAAGATCTTTGCAAAAGGCGTATTCATTAGAAGGCTGCAATATTTATCAGTACTGAATGTAATGTTATCACCTGTGCTATCCCGTTGTTGAGTGGACCAAATTAATCGGTTTCTATTGGTATATTGGCTCCTGTACGGATGCCTCAATACTGCCTATATTTCAATAGTAAGTCAATAATGAAAAGTGGTTAGCAACGGAATCTAGAAAGCATGTTTTGTCCTATTTAAGATTCATCATCTGGATATGCCAATAGAGGCTGATCAATTCGGTCCAGTCGACAACGGTATAATACAAGTAACAACTTAAAAACTATACCCATCGCATAAGAAAGAGGTACATCTAGCTGAAGAGTCCCAAACAAGAAAAAAAAGCGTGTCCTGGATTCCGCTGCTGGCCACTATCCCTCATGACTACTTATTATAATTTGCATAGAAAACAATATTGCACTGAGCTCACACCATTGTCCTTTTCTTGTCTTAATAGTTTAGAAAATTAGAATATAAATGCGAAAATTTAGAGATACCTTGTGCATCTGTGTAGTTTGCACCTATACTTACTTAAACAATGAGTGCTTCAATTACTACGATTGATGAGTTGCATCTTTTCTGATTGTTGGTTTAAGACGAGTAGTGGCCTATGGACCTTATAGATGGTGTCCACAAGGCGTTGGAGAATATGAGTAATGTGATTTTGGACCAATCATAGCAGTGGAGTTGTACTCAACTTTTATTTCTGCAAGATCTCTGACAAACATTTATTTACCATTTACCCACTGAAATTCTTTCCTTGTCTTACTTTTATTTTTTTGTTTGCTGTTTTGTGCTGCTACGAAGTGGAGTGACTTAAATCGATATATATATATATATATATATATATATATATATATATCCACCCTGGACTGCTATCAGTTGGAGAACCACTGAATGCCTGGGAGCATCGGACATCTGTTTTGTCCCAGTATGAAACTTTTCGGTAGTGCGCACCTACGGAACCATCGGGGGTCGAACTCAGGACCTTCAGATGGTTTACACGCTTAATACTCAATATAGTAACACATTATTAGATAAATTGGCTCAATTGAAAGTAAATAAACCATGTCTGTAAAACTGAAACGGATTTGTTGTATTGTTATTCATTTATTACTCTTACACTTCCAAATAAGCTAACGCAGACTAAAAGTTGCAGAGAAGAGGTGATGGTTCACTGAACAGAACCTTCAGAATACGGTCTGCGATTACGTGCAGTAAGTAATGAGCCCCACCTTCTGTGCGACGGTTAATGATAGTACCTGACTGACTAGACCTCACTACACACGAGGCGGGGCCCGTACCCACAACTATTTAGATCAATGAGCTACAGTTCCAATGCATCCTAGAACAATGAAAATGTTGGTTTGAAGCGTGAAGCTGCAAGAAACCCCAGTTCAGCAGTCGGAAAGTTATACAAAGAGGATGACTTCTCAGTAAACATCACAGTTGATACTGATTGAAAATCATACTATATTTCAAAACTCTGAAAACCAATAAAAAAAAACTGTGCTATTTCTCACGTTATTTTCCCATCTAATATTTTTATCCCCACCAGTATAACTGTAAATGACAACATGGTAATAAACTGCAATGAATTTACAGCATTTTTGGAAATTTTATTATTTGGAATTGTGTTTTTCTCAAGCATTCTCATCAATCCTTTGAATTTCTACAGTACGCCCTGAATTACACCAGAATATGTTTCATTATTTGAAGCCAAAATAACATGTTATCAAAAGAGTACAGTTTTATTTCACCTTCATTTCATGTTAACTACATTAACTAAAGATGTAAAAACAAAATAAGTCAATAAAATAGAGCATATAAGATTAGTTATGTATGGATACTTGTAATTCCCTGTTGTCATAATGGATCGAACCTCGACCTCTGTTGACAGAGATTCCGTCTTATTTAAGACCTATCAGGTGGATGAGGTTTAAACCGATGGGTATTGGTGTTCAAGTCTCAATGGGAACAGCATCACTAACTAACGTTCAAGTACATCCAACTGACGAGTCCTGTATAAGACGAAACGGGCGTCCTGGAATCCATCGCTGGCCGCGAAGTTAAATACAACACATAAGATTACAGTTTCTCATGTAATGAAGAGGGAACAAAAACTCCAAATATATTAAGATCGACAGATTATCAGAGTATTGATTTTAGAACTTATTTGGGAATAGTGCGGCCGTCACTTGTTCAATTATGGGTTACAATTTTTAGGATGAATATGCATGCTACAGTACAGAAATTACACATTTCTATGAATTATGTCATATATTACAAACACATGAAACTCTCTCCTCAGTTAAATCCCGACAGATAGCTGCTACCTAGACGTGGTGGCCCGGTTTGTATATCACAATGACCCAACGAGTAGTTCCCTCCAGATCCTACCATACCAGAAAGGTTTGTTATTATAGTGATCAGACAAAAATCCGTTACCCTTACCTTTAACATGTTCCTAAATAATGAAATGATGCATCATAATGGCTTAGATCAATCATCAGTGGTTAGTAGTGATCCAGAACTATAGGACGTATGTCCAACCACACCTTCCATAATATAGGCCAGTTTTGTGGCATCAAAAATGCCGTACGTGACTGGACTTTAGCAGATGTCCCCTGGGCTCTGCGATCACGCACTAACCCTTCTTTTTCAGGTACCTCAAGAAGACCTAGCCTTCTATGGTATAAGCAGCCAGGAAGTGTCAACTACCCTCACAACTCTGTCAACATTCAAATCCCCTCCTCAGTCAAATTAATTCCCTAGCCAAAAGTTACATTCTCAGTAAAGAAATAAAATGGCATAACAACTTACTTCTAGTATTCTAAACAATAATGATTTATCCATACCACAAGAAATTAAACGTATCTCTCCATCATCAGTTTCAATGATTTTAGCTGAAAATATTGCACCTGAATGATCTGATATTGTTTGTACACGAGAGTATTCTTTATTCGGATCAAAGATATGTATCATACGATCACGTGATGCAGAGCATAATAATAAAAGTTGTGGAACTGTAATAAAAATTATAAAACATAATATATTTTTAAGATGAATAGGGATTTTAATTTATAGGTAGTATTTATCATGGATAGACATCAGTTAGAGACTCCTCAGCAGTACGTACCCACTGCTGAGAAATCTCACACTAACGAAACAATTGTCCAGTGCTCTCAGATTTCCAATGGTTCCCCAACTAATATCAGTCCATGATGAATACTACCCATATATGATAATAGTTTAATAAAAATGTACAACCGTTTGGGTTTATATTATGAAAGTAGAATATACAATGTAGAAATGATCGTATTTTAATAACTAGTTAACAGGATTCTCACATGTATCCATGGTTATAGTAAGGCAAACAGAAAGTCAACAAAATTCCCAGCCCATAATAAAACATCATCGTAAGATAACAGAGAATAGTTGTAGTTAAAGACGATGATTTTATTAGTGTTATTTAATTATGAAGCTATTGTTATCTCATTCTAGATAAAATCATCAGTACAAACTCCATAAAAAAAGTGAGCTATGAGCATTTCTCCGCAAGTCTTCAAGTGGTTAAGTAGCTTGTTCTGATGACGTTGAATATAGGGAAAACACAGAAGATAATTGTAGTGTAGAAAGAAAATTTCCTCTTCGTCGAAATCATTCTCTTAGCTCTACATTCATGAATATATAGTAGAAAGAATAGAACATTCCAGAGTGGTTTCCAGCTAAAGGAAAGTTATGTAATGGGGAAATCAACAGAAATAGTTACGTCATATGTGAATTATGTAGAGTGATCGATAATCTATGATGGCCTCGGCAAAACAAAGAAGTTGAACGTGCTTCTTTCGAACGCATAATGATGGTTTGAACTTTAGAATCGTTAGTGCTCCATCTATGCTCAGATGTTTCAACTTCAATCCTTTCGAGTGGCTTGGTCACATTTTATACAAAATTTTGAAGGAATAGTCAAGGTAACCCAAGCTTCCCAAGTTTACTAAATGTTCTGTTACACAGTTGAGAATAGATTTTCATTCTTCACTTGACTCATTTTTGTCATTGTCAGCGCACTTATTTCGATCAGCTATCCTACTGACGTTAACTATGACCTTCATATTGTTTCTCATATTATTTATTGATTGATAGATTGGGTCAATGACAATATGCCAATCGATAGCTGAGTGACCTGGGTATCAAGCTTATAAAAGCTCTTTAGTATTCTTGCCAGGATTTCCATAACCTCTTGATAGAAATCATGTCCAAAATTGTATATATGCATCGATATTAGCAAAGATGTATACCCGACAGCTTCAGTGGTAATTAACATCGATGTACACATCGTTTTTACTGATAATGTTGTCTAAAATGACAATAAAAGCTTCACGATTAAACCATCAGGCTTACATAAGACAATAGTATCGAAATTTATTAATTGAGGCCAAAACCACTAACTCTTCGGGTGAGTCATTAGAATGAAGTCTAACGGTTCAATTCACGATATAACATAAACAATTCAATGCTACTGGTAAGTATTTATTCTTATGCTTGATTAAGTTGAAGGTAGATGTCATTGTTTGTTATTAGAAGTTCAGGAAACCAATCTTGAGGTCAGATACTGGTCAGCTTCAGAGGTAATTTATTTGAACTAATGACTAATTTCTGCATAGATTTTTTGAAGTTTTAATGGGAAGGAAGTCGTAGAGATATGATTCATTGATTCAAGCACTTGATTTTCAAAAAGTAGATCACATATTCGAAGTATATTCCAGATACTACTCATTTTTGGGCAGCTAGGTAGCATCATTAACAATCATATAATAGATAGGGTGCATTACCAACATGTATGCGATGGGAAGTAGTGACTCACAGCGCCAAACAAATAGGATATAACAACATTTACAAACTATGAATTAATAAAATAATTATGGTAATAACCACATAGAATCAGCTAAATATTCATCATTATAGATTAAGAAAGAGAGGGGTTGAACACTCAGTTTACTATAACAAACCTACCTGAATGTGATCGAAAAAAGTTCAATGATAAAATCTCATTATCATGAGCAGGTATTTGACAGAACAATTCCAATGTCTCCAAGGAGTAAACTCTGATCAACAGAAATACACAATGATATGCATTATAAAAACTTGTGTAAGTAACTAGTTAACTAGTAAATTGATTAAAATAATTGAATAATTTTCATTGCATATATATACACGGAGAGAGAGAGAGAGAGAGAATTATGTGATATCGGTATCTAATAAATATCTTGGCAATTAATTACTTACTGGTGATATCACAATAACCGCAGCAGTAGCAAAGAGAACAATACAAATAAACGTGATAAAACTGTTATTGTGTCTCTTTAAACTTTACATAGATCTATGCAAAAGTACAAATGAATTAACTGCAATATGGTTGCCTTCCAAAAAAAAACAATAACCACAAACAGAACATTTCTGTGTATTAAATGAATGCATTTTCTATGAAGGTTTGATCATTTCAATCTGGTGGTGATCAGTGACATTTGGAAATAAGAAGATTAGATCTTATTGATACTATTGACAGTCAACTTTATAACATTTCCCTTCTATGAAAGTGAGAATTGCGTAGAACACTCTGATACTACACCTGTTTAGCGCTGTCGTAATTTCATCCAAGATATGTGTGTTTGATGCGTAAGGGATGACTAATGTTGTAGACGGTGATTTCAGAGTACTTTTCGGGTCTGGTTTAATGTTATTTTACTATTAACTAGACGGTCAACGAAGGGAATAACTCACCCTTTTTATACTGGAGATATTTACCACATGTATTTCATGTGAAAAGTATATGATAAGAATTGAATCAATTCGATCATATGGATCTATGCCTCACTAGTCTAGACTGTTAACTTTCCATAGGTTGGCAGCTTTGGAGCTTGCCCTCATCTGCCAATTATTATCGCATATCAATAGGTGTTATTCATAGCTTTGATTGTTAACCTGTATATATTTATTGACTGGAAAGATGTTAGAAGAAGCTTTTAAGGAGGAATTCTATATCACATCCTCAATTGTTATAGATGATTGATAGTAATCTTTTCATCAAGGTTCCTTGCTTTTTATTACCTATTACTCTTGAGTTGTATATATACAATCTTTGAGAAAGTTGATGTTCCGTTCAAAATGCAAACACATCATCTACTACTATAGTCAAATATATCATAATTTATACATGATACTGTTTAAGCTTTTTTGCTCAAAGTTCTTCAGTAAGTCCTACAAAGTGTTGAAGAGCATCATGAGAATGTCCAATCTACATATGCTTTTTTTTAATGAAATTGATTCGTTGATATCTGTTATTCTATAATATCATATGTTCTAAGCGAAAATTTGCTACAGTTTTCTTATTTTGGATATATCAAGGGTGGGGAAGAGGGAAACTACAGTGCTTCTTATCATTAGAACTTCGAAATACAGGCGACTTCAAACGGTACCCTAACAACGATTGAAATAACCAATCAGGTTTTTTCATTTCGACTAGAAAGGCAGATTTTCAATAAAATAGAAAAGTTTAGTTGGTTATTTCGTTTGTTGCTAGGGTGGTCTTTAAAGTCACTATTGAAATTCAGGCTACATTTTACTTTGAGTTCGTGAACTTTGTTCTAATGTATGACTTAGTGTAAATGGACTCATTCCTTTTATAAACTAGAAGGTGCAAAATCATGACATTAAACATACCTTTCATTGAATCGCTACGCTTTATTTTTGCTTACATTAACCGGTTTTTTAGCAACTAAATCCATTTCTCATGAGTGTTAGTTAGTTGTTGGCAATCAGCAGGAAACCTTGCTTGACTTTGGTTTCGTGGTTGTTAGCACTCATCAGCAAGGCGTATCTTCAACCCCGAGGGAACCGATATGCCTTGCGACCCTGACCGGCTAGTTTGACGTATGTACTTCACCTTACAGTTATTACATGGAATTTGATAGATTAGATTATTTTGCTGAATTGTTTCCATCGGATCCTTAAGACGTGTAATGTATTGTAAGGACTGCGAGGTCAAGTACATAGGTCAAATCAGACGATCGGTGTCGATTAGAATAACGCAACATAGGAATCTAGCTAAATATTGAATGACAGACCCGAGTAAGATCAATAATCTAGAAAAATACTCGGCTATTGCAATGCATTCATTCTCATACACTGGGGTGGGATAATACCACTGTACTTAGGAGAGAGATTGATTGATCATCGAACCAACCAACACCCAATACACTTGATAGAAATGACGCAACACCTATACCAGAGCTATGGAAAGTTTTACTATCAAGAAGAATGATATGACAGTACTATACAAATGAGATATCGAAAGGAGTGTGATTACATTGATATGGTTACAAGGAGTAATGTATGCTCGAAACGTCATCAAGTAAATAATACTGTATCACTGTGCGCCATATATCAAATGAATAAATCTAATATACCACTGTGTCCAAGTTTTACAAACAGTAAACAGAGTGAATATGTTTTTTTTTCTAAGATATTTTATCAAGTTATATCATCAAATATGTCAAAATCGCTTGCAAAATACAGAATGCCTTAGTGCATGTGAAGGACAAAATTCCACCAAAACTGCAATCTCATAGCCAACCATGCTGATGAATTTTGATCTAGCTGTCATCTACAAGCTAAGGACATCATAAACTCCGGTTCTGTTATTAGTGCTAAGTGGAGTGCAAACGTCAAGAGAAAAAAGTTATTATTTTGTTCTTTATTGATTAGGAGATACGAATAGCGAAAAAAGTGTAGAGACATCATTGATATTTATTCGAAAGCATTACCAGATGTATATGAAAATTAGACAGAAAAATACTGGAAACAGTTCGAAAACTACAAGAGAGAAATTACCAGTATTATTGTTGTTCTCATTGGTAGCCAAAGAATTGAATAGATAGAAAAGAAGTTAGTTATCCAATAAGTAATAACCAAAGTAATCATTTTTTTATCCTCATTTCGGTTGGCAAGTGTATATAAGCTGCTTACAGCTCAAATAACTTTACGAAACACACGGTCTCATACCAATGGTGGACAACTGTTTGGCCCGTATTAACCCCGTAGTTGTTCACCATGTAGGAAGAAGTGTGGTATTCACTGATCTCCATCCATGTGGTTCTGCAGTCGTATAGTGGACATGGTCACACTTAGCATATGGTTAAGCCATCACTAGATTTCGGATGAAACAATCGCTGCGAGTAATAATAATGCGTCTTGCATTTAACAGGTAGTATCATGACTAACCCTCACACAATAGGTGCGGTTCCTTGCCTGCTACATGAATGTTCACAAAGTTGCTGAGTGGACTCTTCGGGAGTGAGCGCCCACGAACCCACCAGGGATCCAACCCACAACCTTCAGGTTTCGTGGCCAGCACGTTACCACTGGGTCGCATTGCAGTGGTCCACACTCTTGGCTTCTGTCAGTGGCTTAGTGATACCGAGCTGGCCATGGAACCTGAATGTTGTAGGGTTCGATTCCTGGCTGGGTCATGGGTGCGCACTGTTGAGGAGTCCTATCCTATGACAAAACAGCTGTCCAGTGCTCCCGGGTTTCCAATGTTCTTCCAAATGATGTCAGTCCAAGATGAAAATCAACTTGAAAAATCACTAAATCCCTACAAACCCCCAAATCCTTCAATTCCAATAACTGTCAGCTTAATACCGAATTGTGATAAAGTAGGTTTTAGCAACTGTTGGATAGGGATATGTTATGATAAGATAGATGATAATCTACATATAAAATTGAATCAATCAAACTACCTTAAACTGCCGTCACGATCACCAGCAGCTAAATGACGACCATCTGGACTTATGCATATAGCACGAACACACGCTGATCCAGAAGTGTTATTGTTGTTACCAGCAGTAGAATTTGAACTAGATAGTAATTGACAGTGGTCGCCTAAAGAAGGACGAGATGGTGATACTGGAGATTGAAGGGCAGAATCAATTTGTATGATATCATTTGTACCCGGTACAAAAGCTGGTCCACCTAAAGGACCTACACCGCCTAGAAAATTGGGAAAACGAAAGAGAGGGGAAATGAAATAAATATCCACTTTCAGACTAAATTGAAATTTTAACCTAGAGAGGAAATAATCACATTTTTAATTCATGACACATACTATCAATTCCTTTCCTACCTTCCGATCTTTCACCCCACGTAATAGTAACTGTGACTACCTTTTTATGCTGTGGTTTTAAACTACTTAATATTATTCAGTAGCACAATCATGCTTTTCCTTAAAATTACTGCATCCTCAATATGACTGTCAATTCTATTCAAACGAATCTTCATCGTTTAACATTTTTAGATATTAGTTCCTTTCCCAGTTCATGATAGTGTTGAAACCCCTCTCCCTGATGCTCTGTGTTACCTTGAACATTTTTTGTATCTCATATCTTTACTTCACCGTGGGAAAATACGAGTCCTTTATGTTACCTTATGATTTTTTTTGGACAGAGCCTTGTCGTTGTACTGTTGACGCATTCTCTTTAAGGTAATTTGACAGCTAAAAACACGAAGATACTTCTTGATTCAAAGTTCGTAATTTATTATTCACCATTGCTTATTCACAAAGGACTGTATTTCAGACAAATCCTGTGTTTTTGGTTTTATGTGTAACTCGGGCGTTTGCTTTATTGTTGGGGAATCATTTTGGTTCCAAATTCATCAACAACTACCTACGCTGGCTCGTCACTGAAGATCAGATGGTCAGAATAATAAGAATAAGCAACAACGAACTCTGGCTGGTTGGCTGGCTGGCAACGAAACAACCAACAACCTATCACTCAACAAATGTGCAGAAGGAGAAAGTGGAGATGGATTGGGCATGCACTGAGAAGATCGACTGGGGACATCACGCACCAGACACTCGAGTGGAACACAGATAGGAGACGAAGAGTTGGGTGTCGCAGCTGAGGGTGATATGGAGGAGATCGTGTGAGGAAGAAATGGACTGTCGTGGAGCCAGGTTGAAAAGATTGCAGAGAACAGGGTGCACTGGAGACATGCTACTGAAGCTCTATGTTCCATTAGGGACCCAAGGGACAAATAATAATATAATAATAAGCTTTTTATGCATTTACGTGAGAATAATATTGTGCTCTTGAGTAACTGAGTTTAGCCATTCGTATCGGACTACATGCTTTTTCCTAAGAATTCAATTTAGTGATCTACATAGACTATCTACGAATGCCTAGTACTTTGTTGAATAGAGATATCCCCCTTGAAATTTGATACTTTTCATCTTCTGCATTTGTTTTTCAACTACTGAACAATTTATTGTTTAACTGATAAAGTCAGCTAATTATACCGAAGAATATTGGTTAGTAAATGGTTTAAAAACGCCTGAACTGTTGAAGACAACAAACCTGCTGACTATGTGAAACATCATGCATATACACACAGAAACAAGCAGATAAATTATAAAATTCAAAGTGATAACATGGTCTGAAGAGAAACTTAATACTTTCATATAACAGAAAAGTAGTAATCCAATTTTAAATCTAGTACTTGGGCGTGTTTCACACAGTATTATTTACTAGATAACGTTTGGAACAACACGGTAAATTGTCCACATTTGTATCAAGGTAACTCCATAACGATGAGATATGGTTGTATTCTTGTAGCCTTCTTTGTAATACAAATGGTTAAAATTCCCAGATTCCCTGAGTAGGAACTAAATTATTGTTATTGCATGCATTTGATGTTAACTTGATTAACAAGGACTGCAATAATTGCGAGGTCAAATAAGTTGACCAGGATTAACAAGCGTCTCAGAACATAAAAGCTTAGCGAAATCAAGATTAAGAAATCTAGAAAAATGCTCAATTATAGTTATGCATGAAATTAAACACAAATATGCTATAGAACGAGAAAGAGTGACAGCACTAACAGTTAACTTAATTGTCTGGAGGAAGAGATTGATAAGCGAATCTTTGTTTATCGATTCAACACCGGATACATGCAACAGGAATAATTTAGCACCTATTCAAGGAATCTGTAAAATTCTACTACCTTATCACAAAAGAGGAGAGAGAACTAAATCCTTATAAATTATGTTTCAAGATTGTGAAGTTAGTAAACCTTGATATAAGAATGAATACTACCTTAAAAACAAAATCACCATTAACCTCAAAATACATCATTGTATAGGGTTTCCAGATGGATATCCTGGAGTTCTAGTGAGAAGCTATGACCTGTGTGGTCGATGCGGATGCCAGCTAAAGACCTCGGATGATAGTAGTGCTATATCATGAATCGAAAAAATTACTAAACGGTGGATCACCGAACTCCGATCCAGTGGCTGGATAGTTAATGCATTCGCCGTGTAATCTGAAAGCCCTGAGTTCTATCCCTGGTGGGGTGGGGACATGGGGGCATATTATTGAGGAATCCCGCAGTGGGACGAAACAGTCACCCAGTACTTCCAGGTTTTCAGTAGTTCTCCAATTGATGTCAGTCCGGGATGAATACAACCTTACAAATAAATACAGACATCAAATTGTGTTTGAAACGTTATCTGGTAAATAATACTGTTTCACTGTGGAATGATAATCTATCCTACTCTGTAATTTTTACTCAACTACTGAAAAAAGAAGCAAGTTAATACAGTGTAAAATTTGATAGAAACAGGAGAAACCTGTATCCACTGACATAGATTATTTATTGCTTGCAGGTAAAATATTTTCATGAAAAGTCTTCAGTGAAATATTCACCATACAACATAACATATTAATTGAATAATCTGTCATTGCTGTGCACTTTACCTTGTCATTAGATTTTTGGAGGCAGTTAGACGTAAATATATTATATCTAGGTATTATACTGAGCAATGTCCATCACAATCTGCTAAAAGTCTTTACGATACAGAGATGCTACAGCTGAGATAATTGATGAGAGACTAACTCGCTAGTCACAATGATGATTGTCTAATCAACTCTAAAAATGTCTTATCATTTACGCATAGTGTAAAGAAAAAAGAAGCGAATTACGTCTCAGAATTTATGAGGATTGATTGATAGACCTATGGAGTAAACTAAGTCGTAGGTGAGGATAGGTAATCAACATCGGGATTGGATGAACGTTGCGCTGCGCTGCGAATGAACACAAATGAGAAAATGTGTACCGGTGAGTTCTAACCCAGTGGCTCAGTGGTAACGTGTTTAGCGCGTAAACTGAAAGTCCTGAGTTTGACCCCTGACAGGGTCATGGGTGTGCACTACTGAAACGTTTGATGCTAGAACGAAACGACCAGCCAGTTTCTATATGATTCTGCATCTGATGTCAGTTCGCGATAACCCCCAACTAGAAGGAAGGAAATTATTACTCCAGACTATGATGTACATTGAAGTCAGCAGGTTTACAAATACACACACTATCAGAGATTGCGAAATCTGGAACCGCTTTTCTTATATTATTCAAATGAAACTATTTAAGCATCGACTAACCTAAGATAAAGAAACAGCTTAATTTCCTTTGACACTGTGATTTCGGGTGACTTTAAAGATCAGCCTATCAGTTGCTGAAATAACCAATCAGATTCCACCATTTCAACCGGGAAAATAGAAATATAACCCTAGTGGGAGTGGGGGGAGGAGACTTTATAGTCACTGACATTTTCGTGTTCATTTTAAAACAAAAAGGGTGGACCTCATCAATACCCTCTGAATTCACACACTGAAACATTTATTCTTGTTGTCGTTTTTCTGTGTGATGACTTCATCGAAATGTGTATTTCAATGCAGACACTTTACACTTGAAAAACAGTCTTGAACCTTGTATTTCACCTTTGTCGAAGGTATTATGAATCGGCGATGATAAAAATGCATGATGTAGCAAAATAACACACAGATCAAATCCAACAATGTATTAATTCGAAATGGTTAGGTTGTTTCTCTCTACTAAGATGATACATCAGAAATATGCCATAAATGAGAAAATAGGCGGACAATACAGTAAAAATATGCAATTTATTAAGAAAGAAGCTTGTCTCATGTAACTGGGACATAGTTGAAATCATAGCTAAGGTGACAATTCAATTAGCCCAGGTGTATTTTACAAACCACTAAATAGATTATCCTATTTTTGTGTCATACAACAAGGCATTTTAAGATAACTAATGCCTTTCGTTAACAGACTACAGCTGGATAATGCTAATATAATGGAAAAGATTTATTGTATAGGATAATGATGGTGGTGATTTATTTAGTATTCTCTGAGCGCTGGTCGACTAAACAACAGCAGTTGATTGACTCTCCACATATGATTGGATGACTGACTAATTTACAGTTAGGTAATATGACTTTAATTATTGTATATACGTAACAGTTTATTGGATTTCATAACCGACTGAACAGCTGTTTCGCCCAACTATGAGACTCCTCAGCAGCATGCAATTGTGAATGCACAAGAGACTGTATCGGTCGGTGATGAAGATTTCTTCGAAACCAGTCAGTCTTCACTGTTATAGTATGCAGTAAGATTGAAAAATCTGCATAAGAAACCGTATATACCTAAATCTCATTGCAAGCAATCGTTTTGCCTTAGCTTTTTGCGAAAAAGCAAACGAACCAACGTGTAAATACCGGACGTATTGAAGAGACAAAAATCAGTAGAATATTCTATTCTAGACAGGTTTAGAAATATTCAAGGTTATTGCAAATATATACACAAACCATTGTATTTGCACATGTTTTGATGCAGTAATACACCTTCTGTTGTCCTACCACTTTTTCTATTTACCCAGAAACTGAGCTACCGTTGAGGGTGAGATGTGAAGTTTGTTGTTTAAAGGTTCATTTATATAATGTATATGTAACTCAAGTTATAACAAGTAATCACTACAAAGATAACAAGTGGTGACGGAGTAGAAACGATGACAACCCTTCCTAATGAAGAATTTTAAGCATTTATGCAATTCTATGAAGAAAGAATGGAAGCAGTAAAATTGAGGATTACTAAGAAATCCAATCAAATGTTGGATGACATCCAATCAGTATCTGTAT